TATGAGAAACAGCCTCGTTCCTGACGCCCCATTCGCTCTCAATGGAACGACCATCTCCGAATGCAACAGCTATGTGTACGTAGGTCGAGAGGTCAACATGACAAATGACCTGGCACCCGAGTTGCGCAGGAGGCGGCTCCGGGCACATCTCTTTGATTCCACTGTTCTTCCTGCATTAACATATGCCTCAGAGACCTGGGCCCTACGCAAACAAGATGAGAACGCTATTCAGGTCTCCCAAAGAAGAATAGAAAGAGCTATGCTTGGAATATCACATTTCACTCAAATGAGAGAAAGAATCCGGAGTTCTGACATCCGTCGACGATCAAGGATCAGGGACGCTGTCTCATTTGCCAAGGTGTCGAAAATCAGATGGGCTGGTCACGTAATGAGATTTAAAGACGACCGCTGGACTAGAGCTGTTACTGACTGGATTCCACGGGATGTCAAAAGACCACGTGGCCGCCCACCTACCAGATGGTCAGACTTCTTCGTCAAGATCATGAACGATCAGTTTGAGGCCCTTCATGTTCCCGGAGCGAAGAGATACCATTGGGCTACACTAGCACGCGACAGGGACAAATGGAGACGTTACTGGCGCCCGCTCGAGCAAATCAACGACTAACGGGAAGTTAAGTGATTAAGTGAAGTGAACATATGCTTCAAAGACCTGGGCCCTACGAAAACAGGATGAGAACACTATTCGGGTCTCCCAACGAGGAATCGAAAGAGCTATGCTTGGAGTATCATGCTTCACTCAAATGAGAGAAAGAATCTGGAGTTTCTACTTCCATCAACGATCAAGAATCAGGGACACTGTCTCATTTGCCAAGGCGTTGAAAATCAGATAGGCTGGACACGTAATGAGATTTGGAGATGACCGCTGGACTAGAGCCATTACCAACTGGATTTCATAGGACGTCAAAAGATCGCGGGGCCGCCCACCTATGAGATGGTCATACTTCTTTGTCAAGACCCTGAATGATCAGTTTGAGGCTGTTCATGTTCCTAGAGTGAGCAGACACCATTGGGCTATGCTGGCACGCGACAGGGACAAATGGAGACGTCATTGGTGCCCGCTGGAGTAAATCGATGAGTAACAGGATGTCAAGTGATCAAGTAGGAATACTGCTATTTATTCAGCCATTGATTAAGCTGATTGAACTAAGCATGAGCTCCACAAACTGTTGTTATTGTTAAAGGTGAAATGCTGTGAAGTGACTGGAGGGCAAGAGCACACACTTCACACTCAGGAGCCCGGCCAGGTTCAGGCCCCAGCACTGTGTGGCTCCTTGAGCACCAGCAATCCCTGTGGTGCTAGGGATTGTTTCTGTGGTCTGCAAACATATATAAACAATCCCTTGCACCATAGGGATCATGGCCCCAAAACACAAACCAAAACATGCCAGACAAGTAATGTTAAGACAATGGTTGTGTTATGGTCAGAGAAATATAAAGTGTCCTCAGAATACTCAGTGTGAACCTCAACCCTGTCCGGAGTCTAGGCAAGGCAGCTCAGAGGAAGCATTGTTTACATGGAGAGGTGGAAGATGAGCAGGGTGGCCACAGCAGAGACAGTGTTTGTCCATGTGTGTATGGTTTTGGAACTTATACAAAGGCTTGGAAGTAACAGAAGAAAGCATTTGAAAAACTGACATGTACTTAGAACATCTGGAATAGGATTGTTCAGTAGAATTCTCTGTGATAATAGGTACTGTCTAACATGAGAGGCTCCAGCCACATGTGACATGTGAATACTGATCATTTGAAATGTGCTAATGTGACTATAGAGCTAAGTATGTAATTTACTTTTATCATAATTTATTTATTTAAATAATTTTTTAAAGTTTTGGTTTGGGGGCCACACCTGGAGGTGCTCAGGGGTTACTCCTGGCTCTGCACTCAGAAATTACTCCTGACGGTGCTTAGAAGATCAGTTTCGAACCTGCAAGGCAAGTGTCCTACCTGCTGTACTATCGCTCTGGTCCCTGTCATCATTTATTTACATTCAAATACCCACTGTAGGAAATGTCTGCAGATTGGACAGCCAGGTGTAGGCTAGCACAGGGAAGGCTGAAGGTGAGCCCTGGAGAGGAGCGTTCTTATCACAGTGTTGCGCTATGGAGTTTGTGTTTTCTTCTAAGCACCAGGGGAAGCCATTGGTAGGGATGGGTGTTAAGCCAGGGAGTTAATATTCTGATCTTGTTTCTTTTCTCCCTTTAGGGGGTGGGATGGAGGTCATGGGGTTCTCAAGCAGTGCTGGAGGCCCAGGGACTATTTCCTGCGGTACTTGGCCAACCTCTGGGGCCTGACAGTGGCCGTGATGCAATGTTGTGGATCGCTGGGGCCACCCCAATGGTGCTTGGGAGCATTGAGGACTTAAGGGAGTCATGCAGAGCCTGGGAATAAAACTCGGGTCTAGGGAATACACTGCGTGCCTTCCGGTCTCCTGAGCAACTCCCTAGCCTGCTCTTCGTTCCTGAAAGATGGCTGCAGCCGTCATGAGAACGGACGGTGAGGCTGAGAGGTGAGAAGAGCTGCAAGGGGGAGATGACAGGCAAACTAGGGAGCTGGAGCCCGGACGCCCAGCGGAGCGCGTCTGAGGGAGTGAGGGCGCCGGGGCTTTTGTGGCCCCGGGCCCAGCTGGGGAGAGCCCAGGGCGGGCTGCCAGTCTCCGCGCAGCCGCCGCCCTCACCCTGCCGGCCGCGGGCGTACCTTCAGCTAACGGTCCCGAGCCGGAGGCAGGAGGGAAGGGCCCTCGCCGCCGGGGGGGTGCGCTCTCGGGCTATGCGCCGCCGACCCCCATCACATTAATTGTTGCACCCCTGAGTCAACCCGTGCCCCCCCCCCCCAACCGCAGGGCTGCTGGGTGGCATTGGTGGGGAAGGCGGGGCAAACAGGCACTAGAGTGCGGGGTCCACCTGGCAGCCCAGGAGTCCGCGCCCCCGGAGAGACCCGTCCCCGCCCGCCCCCCACGACCTCCGGTGGCCCGCGGGCGGGGAGGCGGGGCTTGCCCAGGAGCAGGGTGTGGCTGCGCCCGGGTGGCCATTCCGATGGGCAGCACGCGGTGACAGGGACTGGCGGCCCGGGTGGCTGCGGGCGGAGTGTGCAGGTGGTCCCGGGAGCCCCCACCCGCGGCCACGCTCTGCGCGGAGGGAAGTGCCCGCGCCGCCCGCCCGCGCTTCACTTCCTCCGGCGCCGGCCCGAGGTGCGTCCGGGGCGACCTGGGGGTGTGGGTGGGTGAGGGTGGGCACCGCGTGGGCTCGTGCCTGCGCCCCAGCCGGTCTGCCTGGCTGCGACCCCTGGGTAGGGGCGGGCACACAGCCGGGGCTGGGCGGGGGGCGCGGCACACAGCCGGGGCTGGGTGGGGGGCGCGGCACACAACCGGGGCAGGGCAGGGGGGCGGCACACAGCCGCAGGGTCGCAGGTGGGCGCTGAGCAGGGCACTGCCAAGCAGAGCAGGGGGAGCCAAACGTGCTGGGCAGGAGGAAGCGCAGTTTCGGGAAGGCTGCGGGCGTGTGCTCAGAAAGATGGGGGCCAAACTGCCGGCTGAAGGCAGTGGATGTGGCTCAGTGCTAGAGCGTGTTTGTGTGTGTGTGTGTGTGTGTGTCCCTGTCCCTGGGTTCCATCACAGCCTCCCACAAAACAAGCCCCAACCCACCCCCTAGCCCACATGCTGAGGCACTCAGTCACTAGGCCCTACCTCCACTGCTTCCGTGGGAAATGCCCCACCCAAGGCCCCAGCGCCCAGACTGGACACAGTCCACTCTCCAACCCCACTTGCTGTCTCAGTACCCACCTCTGACTCTTTCTTTCTGGGCCCTTCCTCTGGGGGCCAGAGGTAGCCTCCTTCCTGGCATGTGCAAGGCCTTTGGTTTCGCTTCTTTCCTGCAGGTGAGTGGGTGCTGTGTGCCAGAACTCAGCCGGGCCTAAAGTGGGTCAGCCTCTCTGAGGGACCAGTGAGTGCCCTCCCCTCCTCAGAGACCCTAAAATGAGACCCAGACATGGCTTTTGGTGCTTTCAGAGATGTGTCAAAAGGAAAGTGTAGGAAAGTCCCCAAAGATTTTGAGACCTGAAGAGTAACGTTGAAGTTAGTTGACATGGTTTTAGACCTGTCCCAATGACTAGTGATCTGGAAAAGTCACTTCCCCTTCCTGAGCCTTCGTTTTCATGATTGCAAAATAAAGGAGTTGACAGACTGGTGATTTTCCTATGGTTCTTGGTCAGGCTATGCAGTGGATTAGGGACCATAAATGGTGACAGGGACATAATCTGGGTCAACCACATGCAAAATGAGCCCCTTTCCTGCTATACTGTCTCTCCGGCCCCACAGCTGTAATTTGATCTGTTGTCACTATTGACCATGGGCAAGACTTATAGAAAGATGTAGAAATGTTGTGTAGAAAAGTGGTTGTGTTCATTGAATGACTGTAACCCAAACATGCAAAAATTTGTAACTGTGTATCTCATGGTAATTCAGTAATAAATACATACATAAATACATAAATTTTAAAAAAAAACCCAAAAAAGAAAAGGGGTTGTGTTAACACATATATTTGTCATGTTGGGCCAGAGGCCCAGCAAATTTTTCATTTTCTATGAAGTCTCTGAGGGAAGTCTGGGATAGTCAAGGGTCTTTCTGTCAGACTCCTTTAAGGAGGTAGCCTCATACCCAGTACCACAGCTGAAATGTGCCAGGGCCACAGCCAGGCATGTGTGCAACCTCCATTGCAACAATGACAATGAGAGGGCAGGGTAGGAGAGATACAATAATACATACATAAATTTAATACAGGGTCAGCTTCTGTTGGCTTTGTCGTTCCTCTGTTCCTGGTGTGAAGCCATGGGCTGCCTCTCTTTTCTCACTCTCTGCCTTTTTTCCTTTCCCTCATTCCTGCTCCTGTGGGCTGAGCTCCCTCACAGTGAGCTGCGCTAGTTGTACTTATTTTCGGAACTTCTCTTTTATAGGCCCCAGACACAACCATCTACCCCACCCCAGACCCGGGGCTGGAAGGAGGGACCCTGACACCTCCAATCTCACAGAGGTTCCAGGTACACGGAGCAGCCTTCTCCCCTCAGGATGGCTTCACCCTCTAGATCTCCAGCTTTCAGGCTAGAAACATCAGATGGAGGCCAAGAAGATGGTGCTGAGGTGGAAAAAAGAAAGCTGGGCCATGGGGATGGGCCACCGCCAATGGAGTCATCATTCCAGGAGGAAGACAAGAAATTCTCTCCTCAGATCAGAGTGAACCTCAACTACCGAAAGGGAGCAGGTACCAGGTGAGGCAGCAACTGGGAGTGTGTCCCAGGCCCATTCACCCTATGTGGAACATTTGTCCTTAGACTCAGTGGGTCAGGCCAGCCTCGGTGCCCATTCCTTACAGCTTTCAGTTCTTTAGTCTGGTTGTGATGGCTTCTGGGCCCAACCATGGCCTTGATTCTCAGACTAGAGTACATGTTCTGCTGTGCAGCCTCATAGGGACTGTGACAATAGGGGCTGGGGCACAAAGGGGCCAAGTATGGGGATAGTCTGGGTTTGTTTGCTGTTTTTGTTTTTGGTTTCAACCAACTTTACTCAGGCACTACTCTAGACTTAGAGCTTAAGTGTTGCATGGAGAATTAGATAGTTCCAGGAATTGAACCCACATGAGGCAAGTGCTTTACTTGCCTGACAAGTGCTTTACAGCCCCTGACCCTAAGAACAGGGAAAAGAATTACCTCAGAACCTGCTTTTTCTCTGCACAGTTCCTCAATTCCGTCCAGTCCCAGTTCTGAGCCCATGATGCTACCCTGTGACAGGAAGTGCTTTGTTTAAGTAGTCACTTCCCCCAGCCTGACTGTCCAAAGGGTTCTCCAGCCTAGAGCCCTCCTGGTCATATGTTAACCTTGTGATTTGTGATGGCACAGCTGATGGAAAATAAGGCAAACCACAGCTTTCTGGTTTTGAGTTGTACAGATTAAAACATGACTGACTCCAACAATCCCCACCTTCATCATAGCTGTCAACCCTTATTTGGTTGGCCTTGTCCACAGGACTTGTGAAATTGGGGTCTGAGGGTACTAAAGTGTTATATAGTCCCTTAATGTTGTTTATCCTTTCATATCTGCTAGTTCTGGTGCTAGGAGTCCCAGGGGCAAACTAGACTCTGGGTAATAATGTGGGGTTTCTGCTTCCTCCTCCTGTCTCCATAATGTAGATTCTGAAGAACTATGGGCCCCTTCTGGGATGTTTCACAGAAATGTGACTTTGGAGAAAAACTCCAGCCATTTGCTGGTAGTGCTGGCGCCCTGCAAGTCTCTGAGAAGTCTACCCCATCTAGAATTCTCTGGGGATCTGAAAGTCTCTGAGAAGTCTACCCTGTCTAGAATTCTCTGGGGATCCTGAGTCGGTTAAGTTGACAACCCCCACAAGAGTCCAGTGTGTTACTGTGTGGATTGGGCACATTAGTGTGTCTTACTGCCTAATGGAGAAAGTATAGTTCCTGACTGCTGGGGCTGAAGTGAGGAGAAAAGATACAGATGTTTCCTTTTAGTACATAAAGTTCTAAAATAACAAGGAGCTTTTCTTTAATCATTGTCAAGGCCCATAGTGTACCAACCTCTACCCATCTCCAACCACCTTCTGTAAACCCTACTTGGACCCCAGCTCAAGATCCACGACAGTATTTATTTTATTGTTCCTTTATATTTAATCACTTTATATTTAGGAGTCAGGGTTGTCAAGTTTATATCTTTCCTATTTAATTTCTTAATTTGGAGTAGGGGGCACACCCAGCAGTGGCCAGGGACTACTCTGGCTCTCTACTTGGTGATTGAAACTGGGCCTCCAGCCTGCAAAGCATGTATGTGCTCTAGCACTGTGAACTGTCTCTCAACCCTATGGAGTAAAATTTACCAGTGAAAATGAGTTTACTCTGGAATTGTGAATTGGGAAATGCATGTTGTAGCAGGCCACAGGCGAAGCCCAAGAACAAGAGAGCAGAACTGCTTTGGTAGAGGAAGTGGTGGGTAGGAGAGAAGCCCTCTTCCTGTTCTGAAGTGCAGGGCACACGCCCTTCAGCTTGTCTGTATCCTGAAGGCCAGTGCGTTTCAGTGCCCGCTGGGTTCGGGGAGGGAGAGCTCCCTCTGCAGGCCAGACTCCAAATTCAGGTAGGCGTCCTTACTAATTTTCAGTTCTTAGGCTGTGATGACAAACCTGTTGTAAGATCAAGTCCCCTAGGAAACCTGATACTTAGAAACAAGTGATGCCTGGAGACAGGAAATTTCTGTGGATTTGCACCTGCAGGGACCACTCCATTTCCTGGGGCTCTGAGCACTTGGGATCTTCTTGGTCGGCCTCAGAAGGACAGAAGTTCAGTGCTCCAGGATTGAGGATTGTGATGAGTTTAGAGACCTCCCCAAAAGGGCGCTCTTGGTTGGGCAACTTCCTGGGGAGTCTGTGGTTCCAGTGCAGCATCATTCAGAAACCATATTCCTCACAGCCAGCCAGACCCAAACCGCTTTGACCGTGACCGGCTCTTCAGAGTGGTCGCCCAAGGTGTCCCTGAGGATTTGGCTGGGCTGCCAGAGTACCTGCGCCGCACCAGCAAGTATCTGACCGACTTGGAGTACACAGGTATGCCCGCCTGTCCTGCTGGCCAAGATCTCACATCTGCCTGCTGTGTGACGCTGGGCTGACTAGGGGGTTCTGCCTGAGATCAGAGCAGAGGGGCAAGTGCTCTGAGGAGGCTTTCTTCAGGAAGGCTGCAGGCTGGAGTTCCACAACACCCTGCCCCTCTGGGTTCCTGTCTTTCCTCTCCTTAGCCCATTGTGGTCGATGCTGTGGCCATCCTCCATGCATTCTGCTTCTTTTTTATTTCAAAGCAAAGCATTGCTCAGATATAATGGACATGCCATATACGTCACAAATCTTAGCACATTCTAGTCAAAATCTAAAATCCTTCTTGTTTGAACTGGTTAGAATAATAATTGTACCCTCAAGAAAATTTAAAATAGAAATGAAATAAAGTTGTCATCTGAACCACCGCTGTTATTGATTTGGAATGCATCTTAAAACTTTTTTAGTGCCTGAGATGAGTGTTTACACAAACAGGGTTTTGCTCTGCATTCTAACTGGCGTTGTGCTCCACTCCCCACTTAATGAATCTTGTGGTGATTTCCCTTTCAGTATGGGCATCTTTGGCTCAGTCATTTTGACAGCTGCAGTTTTTAATTTTGCAGAATTACCATAATTCAGTTAACTTACTCTCACTGATAGCCATTAAGGTTTTTGATAGGTTTTGGCCTTAATGTATCATTTGTTAAGTATTTCATAAGTAATTCTATTTGACCCTTACAAGACACTGGAATGTCCCCATTTGACTGTTGGAAAAACTGAAGTTAAGAGACCATATGACTTTCTGAAGAAGACAAGAGTCATTAGGTGGTGGGATAACTTTAACAAATATTGCTCTGAATATTCTTCTACAAATAACAGTATACGTATGGCAATTTATGTCTTAGAAGTATAATTACTAGGGCAGAAATTGTAGTCATACATGTTTGCATTTTATTTTAATTTTTTTGCCCCCACTTCCCCTTGTTTTAATTTTTCAAGGGAGGTACCCACTGTGGCTCTTGGAACTTATTTCTGGCTCTTTGCTCAGGGATCACTCCTAGTTGTGTTTGGGGCAACCATCTGTGGTGCTGGGGATAAAACCAGGTGGGCCTAATGCAAAACAAATGCTTAACTCCTCATTTCAGCCCTGACTTATTGGTTATTTTTTCCCCTTTTGGGGCTATTCCCTGGTGGTGCTCAGGGCTTACTTCAGGTTCTGTTTTCAAGGATGACTCCTGGCAGTGCTGGGGTGCTGGGGATGGAACCCGGGTCTGATGCATGCAAGGCAAGCACCTCCAGTCCTTGTTGGTATTTTAATGTCAATGTCCAGCACACCAGTGAATGTATATCTTCCCAGGAGTGCTCAGGAGCTTGGACTCCCCAAGGCTCCAGTCTGAGCACCTATGCCCTTCCCTCCCTCCTCCTATAGAGGGTTCCACTGGGAAGACTTGTTTGATGAAGGCTGTTCTGAACCTTCGGGATGGGACCAATGCTTGCATCCTGCCACTGCTACAAATTGACAAGGACTCTGGAAATCCCAAGCCTCTGGTGAATGCCCAGTGCACTGATGAGTACTACCGTGGCCACAGTGCCCTGCACATTGCCATTGAGAAGAGGAGTCTGCAGTGTGTGAAGCTCCTGGTGGAGAATGGGGCCAATGTGCATGCCCGGGCTTGCGGCCACTTCTTCCAGAAGAGACAAGGGACTTCCTTCTATTTTGGTGAGGAGATGTTTTTGGGAAAGTGGAGTCACAGAATGAATAAAGTTTTGCCCCAGATTACGGAGTTAATGTGTTGCAGAGCTGGCCCTTAAAGATCACCCGGCCATTTGGACCGTGAGGCTGGTGTTTCTATTAGTCTGCCAGTAAAAGCAGTTAGTCTTAGGAGATACTTCTCCTTGTCTAGAAGAGAAGGCTTTCCACACCCCAGCCAAGATGCGGGCAAGGGACTCTCTGCTAGAACTAGTGTGTGCAAGACTAGACAAAGCAGGATGTGGAGAGAGGGACATCCCTGCCAGGCAGCAGTGGACCCAGACTCTGCAGAAGAAAATAAAGAGGAAGGGGTGAGGGGTCCTGCTTGGCTGGCCCTTGTTCTGCTATTTTTGAAGGTCATGAGCTTTGATCCCTTCCCAGGGATCAAAGTTGCAGACAGGGCTGCCCTCACTAGTGCTCATAGGAGAAGTCACAGCTACCCTAAAAGTGCCCAGGACTGTCTCCCCCAGTGCAGACCTGGGCAGGCCACCAGTCCAGAGGTGTTACTCTCTCCTCTTCTGTTAAGAGTCTGACCCCCTTCCAGGAGGCCTGATCTGTCCAAGGAACATGAGGATTAGATGGGTGGAAACTGGGAGACCAAAGCCCTCAGCTGCCCCCTTGCCCCTAGGTGAGCTACCCCTCTCACTGGCTGCATGCACCAAGCAGTGGGACGTGGTCACCTACCTGCTGGAGAACCCCCACCAGCCTGCCGACCTTAAGGCCACAGACTCCCATGGCAACACAGTCCTGCACGCCCTGGTGATGATTGCAGACAACTCGGTGGAGAACAGTGAACTGGTCATCTATATGTATGACAAGCTCCTTCAAGCCGCGGCTTGCATCTGCCCCACTTTGGAGCTCGAGGACATTCCCAACCTGCAGGGCCTTACACCCTTGAAGCTGGCTGCCAAGGAGGGCAAAATTGAGGTGAGCTGCTGGATTGTCCTCTCTTCCCATCCTTCCAGGAAGCAGCAGGACTTGCTCTGGGATTTGGGACAGAAAAATCTCCAAGTTGTGTTTGATTTTTTTTAATTTTATTTTTGGGTCACACCTGGCAATGCTCAGGGGTGGGAGATCATTTGAGATGCCGATGTTCGAACCCTGGACAGCCATGTACAAGGCAAGCGCCCTCTCTGCTGTCCTATTGCTCTGGCACCCCACTTTTGTATTTGAGTACTCCTACCAGTAAATAAGAATGTTTCTCAGCATGCACCTCTAATATATGCATGTTTATAAGTGATACATAAGCTGTTAATAGTTTATCAAACAGAAAACATACATTTTTCTTTTTAAAACACAGGGAATTTTTAGGGGCTGGAGAGATAGCACAGCGGGTCAGGCGTTTGCCTTGCACACGGCCGACCCGGGTTTGATCCCTGGCATCCCATATGGTCCCCCAAGCACCGCCAGGAGTAATTCCTGAGTGCAGAGCCAGGAGTGACCCCTGAACATTGCTGGGTGTGACCCAAAAAGGCAAAATAAATAAATAAATAAAAATAAATAAAACACAGGGAATTTTTAAAAAGTCATTGGTTTTTTAAAAAAATCATTTTTAGGAGACGAACTTTCTTATATTCTTTGATTTTTTGGTTTCATTTTTTATTTGGGGCCATACCTGGTGATACTCAGGGGTTATTCCTGGCTTTGCACTCAAGAATCACTCCTGGCGGTGCTCAGGGAACCATATGGATAGAAACATATTCATATGGTTCTATCGGGATAGAACCAGGTCTGCCTCATGCATGGCAAGCACCCTACCTACTGTACTATCTCTCTAGCCCCTTCTTTGCGTATTTTTGTTATTAGATTTGCTACTCAGTTCTCTTTGGGTTGGTTAGGTAATGATCTCCCAGTTTAAGATTAGAAAAAAATTGTGGTTGAGCCTTACCTGTCAATGTTCAGGGCGTATTCCTGGTTCTGTACTCAGGACTCACTCCTGGTGGTTGAGCCACACCTGTCAATGTTCAGGGATTACTCCTGGTTCTCCACTTAGGACTCATTCCTGGCAGTCACGAATGAGGATGCCAGGAATCAGACCTGGATTGGTTGTGGATGAGACAAGTGCATAGCCTTCCATACATTCTCTTCAGCTCCAACATTAGAAAAAAATGTATGGTATTTTTCTCACATCTATTTGGGAAAAACTCTGATTTTTACATGTTTTTATGTATAGAAGTGCCTTTTGTCTTAGGTTTCCTTGGTTTTGCTATGGATATATACTTCTCTCTGTGTGTACTCATATAGTTGCTGTTTCTTTTTTCAATTTAATTTAATTTTTATAAAGTTGTTGATGATGATTTAGTACATCCAATATTCCAACACCAATCCCACCACCATTATTTCCTATTTGCCCAACCACCACCCAAGCCTGCCCCAATAGCAGGCCCTAATTAATTTATTTTACATTGCTTGTTCTGAATCACTGTATCACTGTATCATTGTCATCCTGTTGTTCACCGAGTTACTCGAGCGGGCGCCAGTAACGTCTCCATTCGTCCCAGCCCTGAGATCTTAGCAGCCTCTCCTTTTTTGTCCTTCCCAACGCTGCCGTATTGGAGGTTCTTTCAGGGTCAGGGGAATGAGACCCGTTATTGTTACTATTTTTGGTATATTGAATATACCACGGGTAGCTTGCCAGGCTCTGCTGTGATTGTTTTAAATTATTCACCAAAAATGGTCAAAGGGATTTCATTAGAAGGACTATGTGAAGATTGTTGTATCTTACCCTGGAGCTGTTTAAGCCCTTGTATAAGAGATTACCAACATGCTGTTATAGGTTAAGCCTTATTTGTTAATATTTCTTAATCTAGAGTGGTTGCCTTCTACTTTACATTCCATCCAATGTGGTATGCTACTCCTGGTATATCAGTGATGTAGAGCTTGAGATGTCGCTCTGGGATTTCTAAAATTTTGAATGGGGAGATAAATTTTTAGCTGGATGGTGAGTTTGGGGTCCCTGGATCATTTATGAGTCTCTGGATCATGGCCAGTTAGTGAGCTTAATGGTGCCAGAGGCAATTTATGGGTGTGACTGCCAAACTCCTGGAAGAACAGGGAGACGGAGAGAGGTAGCCAATCCCTGACTCTGTGAGAGTCTGGAGAATTATTTAAATTTTTTTGGTTTGTTGTTTTGGGGACACACCCAGAGATGCTCAGGCGTTACTCTCCTGGCTTTACACTCAGGAATTACTTCTGGAAGTGCCTGAAAGGCCATACTAGATGCCAGGCATTGAACCCAGGTCAGCTGTGTATATGACAAATGCCCCACTGTACTATCTCTCTGGCTCCACTGTCTCCCCCCACTTTTTTTTAAGTTCCACTTTTAATAAGTTCCATTTTTATTTTTATTTGTTTTTAATTGAATGTTACAAAGCTTTCATGATTGATTTTCAGTCATACAATGCTTCAACACCCATCCCTCCACCAGTATACATTTCCCACCATCAATATTCCCCGCATCCCTCCTGCTACCTCCCTCCCCAACCTGTCTCTATGGCAGGCACTTTTCTTCTCTCTCTCTCTCTGCATGCGTACATGTGTGTGTGTGTGTGTGTGTGTGTGTGTGTGTCTGTCTGTCTGTCTGTCTGTATATCTCTGTCTCTCTCTCCTTTTGGGATTATAGTTTTCAATGCTGATACTGAGAGGTCATGATGTTTAGTCCTTGGCCCACTTTCAGCACATATCTCCCATCCAAAGTGATCCTAACCATGATTGTCATAATGGTCCCTTCTCTATTCCAACTACTTTCTCCCCCAACCCCGCTATCCCATTTTTAATGCCTAAAAATTAATCTTAAAGTTATGATGGTATAAAGAATAAATGTGGTTCAGCTTTCCTTTTGTCCCCAATGACTTACCAGTTGTCTGACTGTTACATTTATGGTTTCATAGGTGTATGGTTTGTGCAGTTTACACAGGACGCATATGCAGAGAATCAGGATATTTAAAGACTAAGATAAATAAAATCATAAATACAAAATTTGCAGTTTTATTCCTGCTTAACAAAGGTGTGGGAATCATCATTTGTTGTCTAAAGGGAAGTGCCTCAATTTGGCCGTTCCTTCCTCATTTGTAAAACCCAATTGCTTTGGGGGTCAAAGAGATAGTACAACGAGTAAGGTATTTCCCTTGCACAAGACCAACATGGGTACTATTCCTGGCATCCCATAGAGTCCCCTGAATGCAGAGCCAGGAGTAGCTCCCGAGCATTGCTGAGTCTGGCCACAAAACAGAACAAACAAAAAAACAATCATGTTGCTTTTGAACTAGCTCAGGTTAGAGACCCAGAAGGGTTAAAGGCTTGGGATTCTGAAGACTGGTTAAATAGCACAGGGATTAAGGTGTTTGCCTGACATGTGGCTGACACAGTTCTTTTCCCCCAGTACCCTATATGGTTCCCTGAGCACTGCCAGGAGTGATCCCTGAGTGCAGAGCCAGGAGTAACCCCTGGCCACTGCCAGATGTGGCCCCAAAAGAAAGCAAAACAAAACAAAAAAACCAAATTTTAATTTTTTTTATCAGTGAATCACCGTGAGGTATAGTTACAGACTTACAAATATTTGTGCTTGCATTTCAGTCATAAAATGGTTGGGTACCCATCCCTCCACCAGTGCCCATTTTCCACTACCAATGGACCCAGCATCCCTTCCACCACCCCACCCCATCCCCCACCACCCTGCCCCGCTTCTGTGGCAGGGCTTCCCTTTTGCGCTCTCTCTCTCTCTCTCTCTCTCTCTCTCTCTCTCTCTCCTTTTGGGTGTTATGGTTTGCAATCGACCATCATGTTCAGTCTATAGTCTGCTTTTAGTATGCATCTTTCAACCCAAATGGGTCCTCCCAACATCCTTTACTTGATGTTCTCTTCTCTATCTGAGCTGGCCATTTGCCCAGCATGTGATGCTGGTTTCCAAGCCGTGAAGCAGACCTCCTGGTCCTTATCTCTACCACTCTTGGGTGTTGGTTTCCCATTATGTTACTTTATATTATACAGATGAGTGCAATCTTTCTATGTCTGTCCCTCTCTTTCTGACTCATTTCACTTAACATGGTACTTTCCATGTTGATCCACTTATATGCAAATTTCATGACTTCATCTTTTCTAACAGCTGCATAGTATTCCACAGTGTAGATGTACTAAAGTTTCTTTAACCATTCATCTCAAAATACAAATTTGTGGATTCTGATCACAGAGGAACACACTCAGGTGTGCTTCAGAGCCTCCAGCTACCATCTCTGCGGTGGGAGGGCTCCAGAGAAGGCAGGAGTCGGGGAGGAAACTCCAGGCTGGCCAACAGGCTGGAATACATGCATGGTGGGCAGTAATAGGGAATGTAAAGAATATACACAAGACATATGTGCAGGGTGCATGCATGAGTGCTGCAGGTTGGGCAATCATTGAGGCATGGAGTTGCTTCCCATCCTCCAGACACAAGCCAAGCTCACAGGATGCAATCTGTAGATTTTCAGACACATCCTGCAACGGGAGTTCTCAGGGCCATGCCAGGCCCTTTCTCGCAAGTTTACCGAGTGGTGTTATGGGCCCGTCCGTGTGTCCCTCTATGACCTGGCCTCTGTGGACAGCTGCGAGGAGAACTCAGTACTGGAGATCATCGCCTTTCATTGCAGAAGTCCGGTGAGCCTGCAGGGTCTAATGGGGGACTACCTATGGGACCACACCCATATTGTAACTGAGGGATGTGTGTGTGTGTGTGTGTGTGTGTGTGTGTGTGTGTGTGTGTGTGTTTCCCCTTGAGCCCAGTCCCCTCCAACACAGGGCTCATGGCAAGCTCCTGCTGGCAACTATCATTGATCCCACCTGCTCTGGACTGGAAAGACACTCAGTCCCACAGACATGGGGAAGAGTGGAAGCAGGCAGAGGGGGTCACTCAGGGCTCTCCATCTGCTTGCCGTCATGTCCTTCAGCCCTCATACAGATTTGCTGAGTGTAGGTCGGCCTCTCACATTTCAGCACCGGCACCGCATGGTAGTTTTGGAACCATTGAACAAACTGCTGCAGGCGAAATGGGACCTGCTGATTCACAGGTTCTTCTTGAACTTCCTGTGTTATGTGATCTACACAGCCATCTTCACTGCTGTTGCCTATCATCAGCCTTCCCTGGACAAGGCAAGGCCAAGAAAGGCAGGGGTTATTTTGGGGGAAGCTTTCTGGAAGCAATTCTGGAAGAAGGATGGGGGGTAGGGACTCCCCATGTCTATCCTGCAAAGGATATAATGAGCCTTTGTCTGTTGTTGGGGAAAACTAATGCCTTAGGTCCTACTCAAGTGTCTCTCTGCAGAAATTCCTTCCCCAAAAAGTGACAGCTGGGAACTCCTTAATGCTGTTGGGTCACATCATCATCCTGTTTGGGGCTGTCTACCTCCTCTTGGGCCAGGTAAGAATTTCTCTAGTTTCTCACCTACACAGCTCTCAGACCACCAAGAAGCAGCTCAGGAATTTTGCAGCCAGGGTCCTTAGAGCAGGTGAAGGTTTGCCCTTCTTCAACATGAGATAAGGAATCTCATACCCAGGTCTCCCCAGCCTGACTTCAAGGGTAGGTGAAAAATTTGGGTTCTGACTCTGCTTTCTGGGGCCCTCCACCTGTCTGTGGCTTTTCAAGGTCCAGCAAATGGCTCCTCTGACTCCTTGGCTCTTCCAGCTCTCCTCACAGAAATGGGGTTGGAAACTCCTTCCTACCAGTCCTTCAGCTGAGGCCTGCCTCACTTGGGGGCACAGAACAGTTGTGGAGGGCAGGGGAAGGCAGAAACTCTACACTTGAAAATGGAATCAACTTGCAGTGGAAGATTGGCACCTTGGGTCTCTCAGAGGGGTCAGGATTTGGGGATCAAATCTTGGTTGGCTGGAGTATAGAGCAGTGCAAGGACACCTCCCATCATCAGTATGTGCCTCATCCTCATTCTCAAGGAGCTAGCAGGTCCCCGGCATTGTCTTGGATTGGGGAGAGTCCAGCACTATCAGCAGGCTTCATGGAAGGCTCCCCTACATCTTTCAGCCCCACAGAATCCAAGCTTCTGCCTAGCCCCAAAGGTGGTTTTTGCCAGGCTCCCTCATAGCTAGGCTAGCAACTACAAACCTGGGTCTCAACGCTGGGGGCCTGGGGTTCACACACCCTGTCCTCCTCCTCCCCATAGCTGTGGTACTTCTGGAGACGCCGGCTGTTCATCTGGATCTCATTCATGGACAGCTACTTTGAAATCCTCTTGTATGTGGTGCCTTCCCTCCCCTTTCTCCCCCCGCCCCCCCACACGTCTTAGCCCTGGGAAAGGCAGGTGTGGCAGCAGCTGCTAGGTCAGCTTTTCAGGCAAGAACTCAGGCCAGAGAATTCCAGGAAACAGGGATCAGAGAGCAGCCAGACTCAGGAGTTGGGGCTGTGGTCCACCCTGTGGCTGTCCTCTCTTCCACCCTTGTCAATCATGACAGCGGTACTTAAAACTCACCGAGCCTTGCCCACAACAGCAGAGCCTGAATGCTCTACATATTGTGTCTTCACCATTACTCATGAGTTAGGCTTTATTTGTTAGCCCACTTTTTAGGGAAGGGAATTGAGGCTCACAGGAGTTAAGTAACTTAACCAAAATGGAGTTACTGGGAATTGAGCTTCACAAGGGTTAAATAACTTAACCAAAATAAGGTTAGCTTTCTTTTTTGGGGAGGAGGGGTAGGTTTCTATTTGGTCCTGTTCCAGATAAATGGGAACTTCTCATCTGTCAGACAGCAATAGGAGAAGCAGTGTGTGTGTGGTGAGGGTGGGGTTGGGGGAAGTGTCATCCCAGACTAGTCAGGGCTGGGTAGCTGGCCAGGCAGCTTCAAACTGACCCACACCTGCCCCTGTCTAGTCTGCTACAGGCCCTGCTCACAGTGCTGTCCCAGTTGCTGTGTTTCCTGTCGGTTGAGTGGTACCTGCCCCTGTTCGTGGCCTCCCTGGTGCTGTGCTGGCTGAACCTGCTGTACTACATGCGTGGCTTTCAGCAAACAGGCATCTACAGCATCATGATCCAGAAGGTGAGAGGCAGGTGTGACCCAGTGTAGCCTCACTGGGCAGGGTTTACACACACTCCTGAGGGACTCAGCAGGTAGAGAAATGAGCTTTTCTGTCTGTGCATCACGTACATATTTACTCTCAGGGATCTGTGCTATGCCCTGCATGTGCGAGCAAGCATTCACACATGTGTGTTTGCTCGTGCCTACACAATAGCATACTATCCTGGCATACCCCTGGAGCTGAGAACTGTACTTTAGTCCATCTGTGTGCCCATGACCTAGGACATCTGAGCATCTATCTGTGACTGCATTCACTTGTTTATGCAACAAATATCTGGGAAATGTGTCTAATGGCATAAGCCTTGTCTTATGTGGTGGGAGAACAAATAAACCTCGACAAGTCCTGGCTCTCCTAAACTAAAAATGGTTAAATGCTACGAAGGAAATACATAGGACAGAGTAAGGGAGTGTAGCTGGGTTAAGGGTGCTCAGTTAAAGAGGTTAGTCAGGAGTCTCTCTGCAGAGATGACGTGAAGCTGAGACCTGAAGGGAGGAGGCGTGACCATGGGCTCAAGGAAGATGCACTAGGGCAAAGGGCAAAGGATCCATGCTTAGTGGGCTCAGGACATAGAGAGGAGACTGGGGGAGTGGAAAGAGTCGGAGGATTTGTGGGGGGAGATGGGTGGAGGGATCAGGATGCCCCATGGGTTAACTATTTCAGCTACTTCACAGGAGTGGAATCATGCAGTAAAGTTTTGTGGACATTCAGAGAAATGTCAATAATGTTTATCCATGTGCCAGATATGGCAGAATTTTCTTTCTTTCTGAGACTATTATTCTAGCTTATACTTATACCAGGGCTGGAGCGATAGCACAGCGGGTAGGGTGTTTGCCTTGCACGCAGCCAACATGGCCAACCCAAGTTCAATTCCTCCGCCCCTCTTAGAGAGCCCGGCAAGCTACCAAGAGTATCTCACCCGTACGGCAAAGCCTGGCAAGCTACCCGTGACGTATTCGATATGCCAAACACAGTAACAACAAGTCTCATGATGGAGACGTTACTGGGCCCGCTCGAGCAAATTGATGAACAACAGGAGGACCGTGATCGTGATTTATACCACATTGCATTTATCCACTTATGGGCTTTTGGGTGGTGGGGGACAGGGCCGGGGCTGCTCTGAACATGGGCATACAGTTTATGAATCTCTGCTCAGTTCTCAGGGCATATATCCAGATGTGGGGTTACTGGGTAATATAAAATTTTCTACCTACCAGATTAACTTTTTTCATCATATGTGTGTACAAGGATACCCACACTTTAAGCTTAGGGAGGGATCTGGGGGTCTGGCCCAGGTACCCACCCCAGCTTCTGGGCACATGTGTTCCAGGTCATCCTGAGGGACCTGCTTCGCTTCCTTCTGATCTATTTGGTCTTCCTAATTGGCTTCGCTGTAGGTAAAGCCTCCCCTGTCCTCCCCACTCCCCCAGAAACCTCTCATTGTTGTTGGGGGATCATACCCAACTGTGTCTGATGAAGCATTCTGTGTGGGAATCGAACCCTGACCTCTCACCTGCACAGCATGTGTTCATGGGTCATCTCCCAGCCCTGTCCCCCACCATCCTGTTCCTCCCCTGGGCTGCTCTGGAGATTCCCTCTGGGCCTTCCCGACCGAGACCCTCTCTGAATCCTTCCTGCAGCCCTGGTGAGCCTGAGCCAGGAGGTCCCAGCAGGCTCCAATGTCACAGAAGCAGTCCAGCTGTCAGCGGGGCAGGAGGACAAGGAGGGCAGCTCAGCTCCCTATGGGAGCATCCTGGATGCTGCCTTGGAGCTCTTCAAGTTCACGATCGGCATGGGCGAGCTGACCTTCCAGGACCAGCTGCTCTTCCGCGGCATGGTGCTGCTGCTGCTGCTGGCCTACGTGCTGCTCACCTACATCCTGCTGCTCAACATGCTCATTGCCCTCATGAGTGAAACAGTCAACAGCGTCGCCACTGACAGCTGGAGCCTCTGGAAGCTGCAGGTGCCTCTTCCCCTCCAAGTTTGGGATGGCTGAGCTGGGCCCCTGCAAGGCCCTGATCCTTGTCCATCTCCTCTGACTACTGTGAGGACACAATACGCTCATCTCTCTAAAGCTTTTAGGATAGTGCTTGACATGTAGTAACTGCTCACTGTGTTAACTATCATCATTATCACATTATTTTTATTAATTTATTTGGTGTGGGGTTTAGGGCCATACCAATAGGTGCTCAGAGCTTACTCCTGGCTTTGAGGTCAAGTATCACTCCTAGTAGGGCTCAGGGGTTCATGTTGGGTGCCAGGGATTAAACCTGGATTGGCCACATGCAAGGACCCTATCCATTGTACTATCTCTCCGGACTCCTGTCTTCTTGAAGGCCTACTGATGCAACTCACCTTACCCTCTCTGAACCTCACTTTTTAGGCTTAGTTTCAGAACATAACTAGGTTCTTAGTCCCTTGCAACTCCCATTCTCTATTCACTGTATGCCACATAAGGTCAGCTTTGTGGGTGAAGCAGATCTTGGTCGAGCCTGGCCTGAGGAAGTTGGGAGTATAGACACCCTTACAACAGGGGGAGGGGACTGAGAGAACATTAGATCACAGTGAAAGGAATAGCTATTTCTTTTCTTTTCTTTTTTTCTGGTTGTTGTTATTGTTTTGGGTGCACATCATCTGGTGTACTCAGGATTAATTCCTGGCTTGTGCTCTGGGTTCACTCCTGGCAGACTCAGAAGGCCATAATGCTGGGGATAGAACCCGGCTTGGAGGGTGCAAGACAAGCACTCTACCCACTGTTGTATTGATTCAGCCCTAGAATAGCTGTTTCTTGATGGAAGGATTGGGGTGGGTCTGGGCAGTTGGCACAGGAAAGCCTGGCCTGGGAGGTTGAATTCTGATACTGATTTCTTGTTGGCCTGTGTAAGCCTTTTCTCTTAGTCACCGTGCCCTCACCTGCAAAGCTCTGTGCTCCACCCAATTTTCTCATGTGCTATTGGGAAGGCACTGTGAAGATGGAATGCAGCAAATGAAATTCTGTCCCTGATGGTGTGTAATTTTAAACCTGTAAGGTTGCAATAGCAAATCACCGCAGAGAACTCACCATGTGTTGACATTCCAACATACACCCAGGGCACATAATTCTGTCTGTGAGATAGAAAGTAAGTTCTAGGGTGAGGTCTCAACATCATTCTAATAGCCAATGTTATCATTGATGCAGCGTTCAAACCCTCACGCTTAACAGACTGGATGGGATTGGGAAGGGCTTTGGTGCATCTCCTTGGCTATTACATCTGATTCATCCTTTGTTCCTAGAAAGCCATCTCTGTTCTGGAGATGGAGAATGGCTACTGGTGGTACAGGAGGAAGAAGCAACGGGCAGGTGTATTGCTGACTGTTGGTACCAGGCCAGATGGCACCCCTGATAAGCGCTGGTGCTTCAGGTAGGTGGGGGACAGAGGTTGTAGGTAAGCCTTGCTCCTCGCCAGGAGCAGGTACAATGGGAAGGGCCAGGCAGGGCTGGGTACGGAAGGTCAGAGATGCTGGATCCCACAGGCCTGGGTCCATCACTGCCTCAGTAGCTGTGCCTATCTGGTCACCTGCCTGTCCCATTGGTTAAAACTGAATCTCCCTCCCCATGGGTCCCTGACTTTATCTTCCTCTTGAAATGGGGTATAGGGTGAGGTTTCAACAGCTCTATACCTGAGACAACCCTTAAAGAAGGAGAGGAAAAGTCGTGGGCATGTGGAATAGCTACAAAAGGGCCTCAGAACCCAAAGACATGCCTAATCTAAACTCTCCCCTGCGTGCTCTGGGCATCCTAGGTAACTTTGAACAGTTTGAAGAAATAATTGCCTTTCCTTCATGCTGGAACTCACCCAGAACACAGCAGGCTGATGACTGACAGCCAGGACAGGACTCCCATGGGATGGTGGATGCCCAGTGTCCTGTGGAGAAGCAGACAGAAGCCCCATCCTTACTGTGCCTGTATCCACTAGAATGTGTGCACAACTGAATCATTTGGGGGGGGGTCGAGACTCCCCTCCCAGAGTAAATCAGGGTACACTTTGCTTGCTGGGACCTCATGGCTGCTCTGTTGCTCTCAGGGTGGAGGAAGTGAACTGGGCTGCATGGGAGCAGACGCTGCCGACAGTGTGTGAGGAGCCATCAGAGCCAGGCATCCCTGGTGAGCCACTACGTGGGCTGCAGTCCCTGGTCTGTTGGGTACACTTGTGTGTGTGTGCATGTGTGCATGCTTCCGCGCACATATACATGTGCATGTATATACACATGTGTATGTGTATGTGCATGTGTGTATACGCATGTGTGTCTGCTTGGTCACACCATTATGGAGAGTCTGGGGCCACCTCTATGGTTACTCCCTAGCTCCACTCTATGTCAGTTCCTCTTGAATGGACTGCCCCCCTTTCAAACAACCTGCCCTTCCCTCTTCATTTCCACCCCCACCTCTTTGCTGGCCAGTTTTCAGGCAATCTTTGAGATGGGCTGTTTCCTCTAGCCAGCCTTGGTCCTTTTGTTTTTGCGGGCCTCATCCGGCAGAGTCTGTCATCTCCTGGGCACTTGAAATTCCATGGCAGGCGCTCAGGAAAGGCTCTGAGAAAGAGGATGAGATGACAGGGTGGAAATGCCAACCAAGATCATGTCCTGTCCACAAGGCACTCTGCTTTTTCTTACTGTAGCTTCCTCCTGACCTCCCTGCCCCCCATGCCTCCAGGGGACACACCTAAGCCCAAGCCATAGTGCTCTTCATCTCTTTTTCCAGGTTCCCTGAGGAAACTTGCCCAGACCTCCCCGCTTCAACAGGACAGTGCCTTGGAGGAAAACCATCTACCCCTTCAGCTCCTGGAGTCCCGCTGATGGCCCAGATGCACCTGGAAGTGGGCAAGACCCTGAACTGGGAATTTTTCCAGCAGGGGTCCATGGGGTATAATGGTGGCAAATACAAGTATTTTCTCGTGGCTTGCCTCTCTGTAAACATTATTTGAACAAAGTTATTGGGTTCTTGGATGGTCTGACATCTGCATCTTCGCGAGTATGCGTCTGTGCCTGGGCTCCATCATCCCCACTCCTGCAAAGGCAAGGGGGACAGACTGTCCACCCAGCTCCACACCCAGCATCAAGGCTGCACTCACTGGGGTGCACAAAGCAGGCTGGCACTGTGCCCACTATCTTGGCAGAGGCCTGGTAGCAGGCATAGGTAAGCAGAGCTGCCTCGCTTCTCTCTCCCATGGCCTTTAGAAACTCTGTGAGACCACTTCCGGGACTGCTCCCTAAGCTTTTGAGCTCTGCTGCTTAGTGCAGGCTCTGAGGCCTCTCTTGTTCCACTAGGCTGCCAAGCTCAGTTCCCTCCAAGTTTTTCTTTATGCCAGCAAGACGGGCCTCCTGAGACTGTGCTCTGAAGGCGGCTCCCCAATGCCCACAGGGCACCCATTCTGCCAGGGCTTTGCCAAACACCTCCAGACTCATCTTCCTCTATTTTTGGTGGTTCCCCCATTAGACCTGTTACTACTTTGACTACATTCTTCAGGAGACTAATGAACCTCCTGTGTTTCACACCTTGACCTGGCTCTGACTGGTAGTCTAATTTAATCCCTCCATTAAAATCCTACACTTTGGATCATGGAGATAGCTGAGAGGTCTGGGCTGCAAGACTTGTGTGCTTTATATGTGGGAGAGGTGTGGGGGAATGTTGTGTGGGGGTACCACATGGTCCCAGGGCTTGTCACCCCCCAATTCTACATTTCTTTCTAATAGCTGCTCAAAAATTGTTAATTACATAGGCTTTCTACTTTTCTTCAGTCAAAATGAACCCTGCTCTCTTGGTGTAGCATGTTTACAAAATGTGTAAATATGTACTGGAAAGGAGGGGAGGGCACTGCTTGTGATGCTAGACAGAACGCTGCTGGGCTAACTTCAGGTACTGGTGATAGAGACAAGGGAAGCAGACAGGGTGAGATTAGGGATACGGTCCTTACAGAAAGGAACCACCAGGCTCCACGGGAGATGGAGGTGGTGTGTGCTGACTTGGATGGCTCAGGCCCGACCAGGAGAGAATCATGTCAGCATTCTCTCCCCTCAAATTCTTGGAGCACAATAAATACTCATCCACCCACCTTTGGAAAAAAGGTATGAAAAGAGAAGGTTTCAGTCTTTCTTTGGAGTCCTGTTTTAGGAGACCCTTCCCATAATCTGGGAGGTTCCCTGCCTTTCTGTTCCCCTAAATAAAATCTACCAGATGGTCAGACTTCTTCGTGAAGATCATGAACGATCGGTTTGAGGCTCTTCATGTTCCCAGAGCGAACAGATGCCATTGGGCTACACTAGCACGCGACAGGGACAAATGGAGACGTTACTGGCACCCGCTCGAGCAAATCGACGACTAACAGGAAGTTAAGTGATTAAGTGAAATAAAATCTTTACTGAATTTTGTCATTTGCTCTCCTGGTCCTTGCCTTCAATCTTGACTGCTTAAGTACTCAATCTCCCTGTTATAACACTGGAGACTACCAACGCCACACCCAAGTGGCACTAGGAGACCACCTGGTGCTGGGGATCCAACTTAGTGACTCTGCATGCAAGGTATGGTATAGCCCTTTGAGGTATCATCGGGGTTGCACGTGGCCAACCGGGTTAGATCCCAGGTACCACCCAGAGAAGCCCTGAAAGCTGCCTTCCTCCCAATTCCTCCCCCAAGGAGTGACCCCGAACACTCTTGGGGTTGCAGAGTTAACCCAGGGGCCTCTGCAACACGGCATCCACGCTGTTTCATTTTGAACTGCAGTCAGGTTGTTCGAATAATAGCAGGAGCGGTCCTGACCCCACCCCTCAGCCCTCTCCATATTGTTAGTAGCATAGACCCGAGTGTTTTTGTTCTGCCACTAGCGGCTTCTTTTGCAGAGCAATCAGGGTCCAGGATGGAGAAGCCGCAAGGGATCAGGTGAAAGGATGGAGGTGGATCGAGAAAAGATGTACGCGCAGTCCCGTGTGGTTATCTAACCTGACGAGAGCTATCCGCGCAGGGGGTGGAGAGGCGCCGCGGATATTCGGAAGTACTGGTGAGGTCTGTCTTAGCAGGCCAGCTGCTCTTTGTAGAAGGCGGAGCAGGAGCTAAGAAAGCGCGCCGCGTGCTAAGGCTCCGCGGAACTTCGCGCGGATTAGGTCAGCGGCTGCTCAGAAACTCGGTCCCCCGGCTAAATCCACAAGGTTGCAGTGGAACCTTGCAAGGTTGCAAGGTTGCAGTGGAAGGAGGGATCACGGGCCCCGTCCCCGCCTCAGCGCCCGGTCCCCGCCTCTACGCCCCGCCCCGGCTCTGCGCCCCGCCTCCGGCTCCGCCTCTGCGCCCCGCCCCCGGCTCCGCGCCCCGCCCCCGGCTCTGCCTCTGCGCCCCGCCCGCGCCCCGCCCCCATCTCTGCGTCTGCCCCCTGCGCCCCGACCCCGCCTCTACGCAGGCGCCTTGGAGCTCGTCGCGCTCCGGGAAGCGACCACACGCTCTCCCGCAGGGGCGTACGGGGATGGGTGGGGCGTCTGAGGGTTAACCGAATTGAAAGTTCCCGTGAGCCTTTGCATCGACCCCTCCTCGGTTCTGCGAGGAATGGAGTGGTCCGACTCCTTAAAGGCCGGGCGCACAGCGCGGACTTTCTTTCCCCCGTCGGTGGTTGGGTCGGTAAGTCTGCTTTTAGTTCTTAGCGGGTGGTGCGGAATGGCCTGCGCCTAGCTCTTGGAAAAGGGGCCTTAGGGCGCAGCGTGACGTGGGGTGGGGAGGGCGCGCGTGGGGACCGGGCTCATGGTTGTGCGTCTGTCCGCAGGTCGCCGACCGCGTGGGCCCATGATGGCCGGAGACCGTCAGCCCGGCGTACCCCGCGAGCCTCGGGCAAGTGCGCGGCGCGTCTGCCAGCGGCAGGAGCGCGTGGATCGGCCGCCTTGACGAGACGTGTGTGTGGAAGTGCCGTCAGATGCGACCACTAACGACGATGCGTAACGGACGCAGTCGCCGAGCCCGCGGCCTTCGCGGCCGGGCCTGAGCGCGCGGGCATGGAGAGTGCACCCCGCCCGTAGGTAAGGCCGCGCGGGAACGCCAGGCGTGTAGGCTCAGGAAAGGGCGGGTGGGTGGTCCTGCCCCGATAGCCCCGCGCAGCCGCCGCGGGCCCCGCAGCTCGGGAGAGCTGCCGGCGCTCGACTGCTCTGATGACATGGCTAATAGGAAGTGCCGTCAGAACCGATAACTGACGACGAGAAGCCGGCTGACGCAGTCAAGCCTGCACTGGTTGATCGTGCTTAGGGGCGAGTTGGTCTGAAAATGTGAACTTAATGTTGGCTGTTTTGTCCCATATATATTATCCCAGGTCGCTAAGGATAAGTGGATCTCTCCACCATGAGACAAACTTGACAGCACCGTAGACCCTTGAAGGTAAGCATTAGTACATGCAGAGGTGAACGCTGTGGGTTATGTCTAGATGTCCGGCGAATTCCAATGATAGTATAATTTGCTACCTTACGTTTTCTCAGGAGACTGAGACTCCTTTCGGTAGTGTCCAAATAGCTATGTGAACTGCAGAAAGGAGCTTTAGAAAGCCGAACTTACATTTTGGTTTTGTAGGGAATCAAATGAGGGCTGCATGTAAACCGTGTGCTCAGACTGTTTAATTCAGCCTGTAGAAGCCTGAGGATTTGTCTTAATACTTTGAAGTGATGAACCATTAGAGGGTGGGGAGATGGGTGGAGAACTTGCCTTGCACGTGGCAGTCCCAGGTTCAAAATCCTCAAAGCCCCATAAAGGTATAACAGCTATTTGTGATTTCAGTCTTAGGTCCTAACCCCAAAGCCAGTAAGGACCTAAGATGTAATACTTTCAAAAAAAGGAACGCCAAAATAATTGCATGATAGAACAAAATCTTGATGTTTCCTTTCGTTGTGCTAACTATGGTTGCTTGCCTCCAGGTTTGGGGTGCAGGAGAATGGCCAGCCGTGCAGTTGAATGGCAACAGCTCAGATAAGAGGTAAGTTCTGATCTAGACAGTAGAGCTATTTTAGTTACGATTTGAAAATGGTATCAAATGATGAAATCACCCAAAAATAGCTGGAATTACCGGCAGATTGTGTAGTGGTGAACAGAAGGTTTTCTGAAGATAATCTTTCCAGCTGCAAAATGACTGTCATTTGGTTGGAATGGAGTGTGAGATGGATATTTTGTTTCATTGCAGGCTACTTTTCCCAGAGGATAGTCACCTGTGTCACAGGGAAGAATGAACTCTCAAGGACCAGTTTTCACTATCAAGTTCAAGTTGAAGGGATTAATTGTTTCTGCCAACAATAGAACCATGAAAGTCTTGCCAAGGAAGGCATGTTGGTGTCCTCTTCCTCAACAGATGCTTTATATTTTCTGAGGGAAATTTCTGTACTTAAGCAGTTGGTAGACTTATCAATAAAGAATTGTTTCCATTATTGGTTTTTGAAAATAACTATTTGTGAAGAAAAAGTTACATTTGATTACTGTTATTGGTTGTTAGCAGTCCAAATACTAGTTTTTGTCCTCACTTTGCCCTATGGTAGACCTACAAAACAGTTCTTCCCTCAACATGCGCAAAAGATTCAAAGCGTTTAAGGGACCCACATGGCATTGCATGTTCCCTCATCAGTTTGCATCTCCCGTCTGATCTGGGAGCCTCTCACCCAGGCCTCCCGTTACCAACATCTGAATTGGTTCTGCTTTTCTAGCATGCCAACTTTGGGTTCTTAAACCAATAATTTCCCTTGATTGGCTTGCTCAGTTTTAGAGTGATTAGAGAGACAACGTGAACATCTAAATGTCCCATGTTTGGGTGTCATTTGGAATATTTAAAAATATCAAGGATTGTTTATTGGAGAGATGGCAGGGTTTGGTTAGCTCAGGGCCTCATACATGAAGCATGTGCTTTGGTTGAGCTACCTAGAATTTGTCCATCCAGTATGTTGGTAATACTTGACATGAAATTAAAGGGGCTTGTGACACCCTGAAAAGGAAGCAAAGCTGTCCTAAACAAAAGGGGTTTCTGTGTAGTGACAATAGGTTCAATGACAGTTAAAACCACAGAATTGGGAGGGGCTGGTGATGGTCCACGGAGAAGGGGTAAAGAACCTTTAGGTGTTTGTTGCCCTCAATAGAGCAAAGATGGATGACTCAGAGTAGGAGACCCTCTGGGGATGGGGGGCAACTTCACATTAGCTGGAGCTTCTAGAATTTCTCCCTTAACCAAGAGGCCATGGAAACCAGGGGCAGAGTGACTAGTTTCACACAGTGCCCTTTCCCCAGATGCTGTGATACCAGCTTCCCATATGTGGGGCTACTTGGGTCATTTGTGCCTGAGCCACCCAGGTAGGAGGCCCCTAACCTGTGTTAGTCATTCTATTCCAGAGGGATTCCCTGGGGATCACACCCTCAGTTATGTCTGAACTGCACTTGCAGTCTCCCTGCCTTTGTGGTTGGTAGTGCCCAGAGGGCATCCTCCAAGGTCATCCTGACCTACTAAGCTGCCATCTGGGCCCTCGCCCAGCTCCAGGATGGTGGGTAGTTGGCCCTGCTTTGGAGAACGCTTCCGTAGACTGAGTAGGAAGGGCTGGGGCAATGAGAAGATGTCCACGTTGTTGCCTAGATCAATCCAGGTAACACTGGGGAACTTTCCTGGGTCCTTGAGGGTATCTGTGAGGTCTCGCAGCAAGGCCCGGGTTAGCCGATTGCCATTGAGGGCCAGTGTGGTGAGGCGGGGCAGTGTGCTGAGTGCCGGCAGCAGCTGCAGAACCATATCATCTGTGAGGCCTGTGAAGCCCAATTCTACACTGTCCACCTGTTCCCCGCAGCGCTGTAGGTAGCTGGTAACTCGCTCCAGGTCACGGGAGGTCAGTGGGATTCCAGAGAGGTCTACTGTGTTGTCTGGAGGGCTCCCAGCCAGGACAGACTTGAGACTGAAGAAGAAGAAAGGGAAAGCAAAGTTGAAGTTTTGGGCAGTCATGGCCACCACAGTCAGCTGTTTAACACTGTGACTCCAGGGATCTGTGCTTCCCTGGTACCACCCAGCATTTCACTCAGCCCCTGGGCAAGAAGGGAAAAACAAGCTCTTTAGGCCAAGTCTTGGGTTTGCATTTTGCGTCTTAACCTCTCTACTTGAGCTATTTACTTCAAAAGTGGGGCTAAGTGAAAGAATAGCATTTTTTTTTTTTTTTAAGAATAGCATTTTGAAGTACCTCACGTAGGTAAGAGATGGTGCTCACTTGGTGCTCACTTGGGCTGAGCTTCCTGCTTTCTGAAGACCTGAGAGCTCAAACCTTCGCCTGCACCAGATGAACCTCCAGAAACCAATCGCCACCCTCAATGGCTGATCTTTCACAGACTTGTTCTGGGACAGACCACTCCCCCTCCCCCCCCAATGCAAGAGACTAAATCCATGGAAAAAGCCAGGTATTCGGGAACAGTGACTCAAAGCGCCAAGCCTCATGGGGTCAGGACTGGGTGGTCCCTGCCTATTTTCCCACCCTTCTGGGGTCCTGGCTCTCAGCTCATGAACTGCCTCCAGCTGCTATTTAAGTGCATTAATGGCCATGATCCAGAGATTCACATATGAATCTTGGAACTAAGCAGCTTGCTGCAGGGATGGCTTCGGACCCCAAATATTTAAATTTTTATGATCCCAGGAGGGTATGGCTGTGCAGTATGTCATACTCTTTTTGTTGTTGAATCACTGTGAGACCCTTACAGACATCTTATACTAATCATAACAAGCAATTCAGATGAAATTATCTAGCATCTGCCTGTGGGGTAGACCTTTGGTGGTGGGAAACTACGAAATATTGGTGGTGGAGGGGGCCAGAGCCATAGTACAGTGGACAGGGCCTTTGCCTTGCACGCGGCCAACCCGGTTCAATCCCCAGCATCCCATGTGGTCTCCCAAGCACTGTCAGGAGTAACCCCTGAGCATTGCTGGGTGTGACCCAAAAAGAAGAAAAATAAATGGTGGTGGGGTTGGTGTTGAAATATTGAATGTGATCAATTATTGTGAACAACTTTAATCACTTAATCACTTAATCCCCGTTATTCATCGATTTATTCGAGCGGGTGCCAGTAGCGTCTCCATTCATCCCGGTTGTGTGCTAGCGTAGCCCAATGGTATCTGTTCGTTTTAGGAACATGTAGAGCCTCAAACCGATCATTTAGGGTCTTGACGAAGAAGTCTGACCATCTTATAGGTGGGCGTCCACGTGATCTTTTGATGTCTCGTGGAATCCAATCAGTAATGGCTCTAGTCCAGCGGTTGTCTGTAAACCTCATTACATGTCCAGCCCATCTGATTTTTGATGTCTTGGCAAATGAGACAGCATCCCTGATTCTTGAGCGTTGACGAAGATCAGAACTCCGGATTCTATCTCTCATTTGAGTGAATCGTGATATTCCAAGCATAGTTCTTTCGATTCCTCTTTGAGAGACCCGAATAGTGTTCTCATCCTGTTTTCGTAGGGTCCAGGTCTCTGAGGCATATGTTAATGCAGGAAGAATAGTGGAATCAAAGAGATGTGCTCGTAGCTGGAGGTTCTTTGTCCTTTTAGTTATTTCTTCAATGCTCTTGAAGGCATTCCAAGCCGTTCTCTTCCTCCTGCGTAACTCAGGTGCCAGGTCATTCATCATGTTGATTTCTCGACCTAAGTATATATAACTGTTGCATTCGGAGATGGTGGTTCCGTTGAGAGCGAATGGAGCGTCAGGAACAAGGCTGTTTCTCATAAACATTGTCTTCGTAAGATTCAGCTGTAGTCCGACCTTTCCACACTCACGGTCAAAGTCCGCAAGCATTTGTGCCGCTTGGCTGATGTTTGGTGTTATTAGAACGATGTCATCAGCAAAGCGGAGGTGGTGTAGTTGCCGACCATCTATCTTCACTCCCATGTTTTCCCATTCTAGTCGTCGCATGATGTTCTCGAGGGTGGCACTGAAGAGTTTTGGTGAAATGGTATCACCCTGCCGAACCCCTCTCTTGATATGGATGATTACTTCTTTGTAGAATGGTGAGATCTTGGTAGTGAATCCGCAATAGAGCTCACGAAGGATCCTGATGTATTGAGTTTGTACGCCCTGATTGGCTAGGGCTTCCATGACCGCTTCCATCTCAACAGAATCAAAGGCCTTCTTTAAATCAATGAACGTTAGACAGAGCGGCATCTTGAACTCCCGAGATACCTCAATGAGCTTGGTTATTGTGTGGATATGGTCAATGGTACTGAATCCTTTTCGGAATCCAGCTTGTTCACATGGTTGTCCTTCATCTAGTGTTCTGCTAATCCTATTCAGGATGACTCGAGTGAATAGTTTGTAGATGACAGACAATAGGCAGATTGGGCGATAGTTGCCAATGTCATGGATGTCTCCTTTCTTGTATAGTAGTACAGTCTTGCTGGTTTTCCATTGGGATGGAACCTTGCATTCAGACAGGTAGCGTGTGAAGAGTCGAGCCAGTGTATTGATGAGTACTGATGGTAAGTTCTTCAGGTGTTCAGGTCTGATCTTGTCTGGGCCAGGTGCTTTTTGTTTCTTTACCGATGAGATGGCATGTTGGATTTCGGAAGGGAGAACATTGGGAACGACATATCCATCATGTGGTATGTGGTATGTGGGCAAGTGGATGTGGCTATTAAAGAGATCTGAGTAGAAGTCATGAATAATCTTCTCCATTGCCCTTCTGGAAGATGTGATAGATCCATCATGATGTCGGAGGGCAGTCATCTTGGTTTTGTAGTTGGTGAAGGACAGGCGGGCATTACGAATGTTTTTCCCAGCTTCTGCTGCATCTACCAGTACTGCTGCTCTCCTGTTTTTGAGGTCATCCTTGATGGCTTTTCTGCACTGTTTTGCCAGTTCGGACGTTTGCTTGTGGTTGCCTGAGGCACGTGCCACACCACGTTGGTGAATAAGTTCAAGAGTGTTCGAAGAAAGACGGTTTTTTGTGGTTATCTCTCTCTTGGCATTCCTTGCACAATCATGGAGGTGCTGAATCATTCGATCGTATTCCTCATCAATGTTGTCAATGACGGCATCTTCCCATGTTGCTGCAACTGAGCCAAAGAGTTCCCAGTTGGTGGTTGTTCTGGGAGTCTTCTTCTTAAACCTTGCATTCTTTTCTCCTCGTTCTGTGAGGTAGAATTTTGCACGAAGAAGACGGTGGTCTGATCCCGTTTGGAATTTTGGGACAATAGCAACATCGGTTAGGCAAAACCGCCGATTGAATATGATGTGGTCTATTTCATTGTGGAACCGTCCATCGGGAGACTCCCATGTCCAACGTTTAGATTCAGCCTTTTGGAATTGTGAGTTACCATGGAAGGTTTTGGTTGACATGATGAACTCAGACAGTCTGTCACCCTGTTCGTTCCATTCCAGGCCATGGGTTCCAATGTGGAGTTCATCGACTGATCTTCTTGGTCCTATCTTGGCATTAAAATCACCGACAATGATCTTGTAGAAGGTGTGATCTTCTTTATAGAATTTCTCCAGCTCCATGTAGAATTTCTCAGTTTCTTTTTCACCATAACTGGATGTTGGTGCATAGACAACAAAGATAGAAACTGCCGGTAGTGAGCCACATTTATTCAAGTGTAATCGTCCGATTCGGGTTGTTAGGCATTCAAATGAATCAATGCTTGTGACTAAGTTTGTGTTGACAAGGATACCGACACCACCGACGCCTCTTTTATCACATGTTCCAAGGAACAGTTCTTCTCCAGTGTCGAAAACAGCATGATGGGATTGATGTCTTCTCGTTTCGGTCAGACCAATGATGTCGTACTTGATCTTTCGTGCTTGTACCATAAGGTCTTCAATGGATGCAGCAGATGCCAGCGTACGAGCATTAAAAGTACAGACAATCATTTTTGTTTTTCTGCGTTTTGGCAGCCCATGTCTGCCTTGGTGTTTTATCAGCTTCTCCTTCCATATCCTTCTCGACTCTGCATAATCAGGGTTAGGGAAATGAGATCCATTTATTACTGGATTTGGCATATCAATTTGGTCTATTTGGCATAGACCACGGATAGCTTGCCAGGCTCTGCCGTGTGGGTTGGATATTTAAGGATATTTAAGGTATCCTGAAAATTTAGAGAAAATTAAATAAATAGTGAACAACTTTATGATAATAAAATTTAAAAAAAAAAGTGCAAACCTCCAGGACTCATCCAACCACCTGAGTGGGGTTCCTTCCATTTTCAGGCTTCAGGGACTCGGCCTGCTGTAAACAGCTGACTCCTGAGGCTGAGTGTTACCCCAGAGCACTCCTGCCATCTGCCACTTTGTCCCCCAGCTCCTACTTTGAAGCAGAGCTCCCCATTTCCAGGAATCCCAGGCAAGCCCTGAGGCCTTGCCCTTGGGAAGGAAGCAACATCTGAGATGTTCACTATTTGCTCCAAGAGCATATGCTGATCTGAGCGACCCACAGCATCACAGCTTGGATTTCCTCTTAGCAGGACAAGTGTGTTTGGGGTCTCCTGACGCTGGAAGGCATCTCCAGGCAGTTCCCAGTGCTCAGCCTGCTGCCTAGCATCCGGTTCAGCATGAGTCAAGTTGGATGATAGTTTTATTTCTGGGTTTGGAGCTCACGGGTTACTTCTGGCTTTGTGCTCAGAGGTCACCCCTGGCAGAACTAAGGGTATCACATGGTTCTGGGGATCAAACCTGGGTAAGTTGCATGTAAGGAAGATACCTTATCTCTTATACTATCTGTCCAGTCTTTGGCTGCTCTTGTAGGGTGTCAATAATTAAACCTGAGAATCCAGCTCAGAGTCAACAGTAACACCCCGACCTCAATCCTTTAAGTGTTTGCTAAATTCCAACTTAGGAATCTCTGCTGAACAGTTCGGTGGAGCCCTGGCTCCATTCTTGCAGAGGGGATGACAAGATTTGAAGTGTGTGTGATCTGGAGGGCATGTCTGGGGCAGTGACATCCAGCTGATGTATGAAGGCAGGCAGCAGAAGAGTGGGAAAAGTTCCAGCAGAGACGATGTGAGTCACAAGTCATGAGGGCTAGAGTTGGGACTTAAGTCCATCACAGAGGGCCCGAGTTGGATTCCATTCAGTGTGACCAGAAGCCACCAAAGGACTAAGGCTCCTGGTGAAGAATGGGCTTAGTATGCGTGTGTGGGGATGGACAGGCCCCAAGATGCTAGCAGAGCTTGACTCTCTGGCTTTTCAGCCCAACAGAAACAGCTTGCAGCAGTGTCCAAATTTCCATGGTTCATCCTGTTTTCTTGGTTCCTATCATGTGGCCTCTTCCTTGGCTGACTCCCTATAAGCCTGAAGTGTCTAGGATCTCACTCCTCTCCTGACCATGGAGGCAAGAGGTTTAGAAAGGGACAAGGCAGCCAGAGCACCTCAGTGAGGGGGCAGTCCAATCTAGCAGTGGCAGCAGATGCAACTGGTTTCTGGAACTACCCCATGATTATTTGCAAGGAAGGCAGGAATAGTCTCTCCAGAAGACTCTTAAAGTGCCACGTGTCTGAGGCTACAGGTTCTATGTGTCATCTACCCTCTACCCCATCCAGCCCCCAATCTGAGGGTCGTAAGATGCATGGACCAGGAACAGATCTGGGGACATCGGGGAGAACTAGAGGGCCTGGTGGGAATGCCAACATTCAGGTCACCAGGAAACTCATGTTCCTTGTGCCCTATAGCCCGTATGAATAAGTCCATACTCCCCAGCTTCCACCCCACAGACCAGGGCCCAGCTGGCAGAAACTTGCATAGACTCAAGCCCTCCTGGAATGCCCTGCTCTCTTCCTCATCTCTGGATTCTTCAACCAAACCTCCTCTGGGCATCCTTCCAAGAAAGCTTTGAAGTTTCCTCTCTTCCCTTCACCCTATTACCCTGGAAGGGGCACTATGCACAGTACCACCTCAACTGACAGGCTTGTTCTGGGTGTCCTTGTAGAAAGAGTAGACCCACCTCAGGTGACCCAAACTCACCAGGCCTGTGGCTTCCTCTTCAGCCCACGGTGCCGCCTCCACTGGGAGTGGGGGCTGAGGTGGTAAGTCAGCTGCCGGCACAGCTTCTCCATGGCCCCGAGTGCGTCGCCTTCCTGTAGAGGCCACACAGGTGGACAGGTCCCTGAGTTATTGGAGCAAGTGGGGGAGACCAGGTTCCTATCTCCAGCTTCCTGTCTACACAAAGGGTACAGCACCCCCAGGCCAAGCTGGGGGCGGGGGTAATCAAGGTAGTCCCTTCCACCATGAGCAGGGGTGCAGGCTGATCGGCAGATGGTTTTAGTTTCTGTGAATCAGTTGCTAGCACTGAAAAAATACTAAGATTTAAATAGTCCATATACCAGTGATCTGACAAGTGACTGAACATCAGCTGACCTATGAGCCAGGATTCACCTTAGTACCTGCTATTCACTCAATAAATATTTACCAGCATCCAAGGCCTTCTGCTCATTCACTCAACAAATATTTATTGAGCACCAACCTGATGCCAGGCACTTGTTCTAGAGGCTGGGGGATATAGCCAAACGTCAGAGGCTGAACCCAAGGGTGTGAGAGAGATCTAAGGCCTGTGTTCTGCTGAGTCACATCCTGGTGCTAGTGAAATACTGATCATCTCTTTTACCTATGTCAAAGTAGGGAAATAAATGAATGAGTGACTTGAGCCTTTCCCAGTCCAATTTATTTATTTCTGTTGCCTATCTGGCATTCGAGTTTCAGATACTTGGTTGTGAAATTTTTAAGAAATCATTTTTATTCATGCCCTACCGAGGTCATGAGTTGCCCCCCACAAGCGGCTCTCTGGCATGGCCATGGCTCCAGAGGCAAAAGGACTTAGTCCAGAGCCCAGCAGCTTGCAGAAGAAAAGTGAATGGACCATGCGTTAAACTACAGCGCCATACCTCCCCAGGAGGGAAAGGGTGTTGCTCCCTTCCACCTTTTTTCCCCCTGGCAGCAGGGTGGCCACTGCCTCAGAGCTTATAGGAAAGCCAGGTATGAGCCAGCGGTGACAGGGCAACTGCAGTCTCATGGGAAAGGGGGCGTTACCGGCGTGTCCTTCATGCCCTACCAAGATCATGAGTTGCCCTCCATGAGCGGCTCTCTGGCACGGCCATGGCACCAGACACACAGAGACCAATCTCATAATTATCAAGCTCTTTGCAGAAATCCAAAATCGTGGCTGCGTGACATTATATGATTCTCATAACCAGCTATAGAAAACAAAATATTTCACAATGCCTTTTCAGCAATTTTGATTGTTTGGGGGGAAATTCTAAACAATAATGGTGCATCTTTTGTCGAAATAATGAATGTAACCAATGTAGAGAAGAGTTAAGTAGAAATCATCTGCCTCACAGGCATTGGGAGGGGTGGGAGGGGGGTATATTAGGGTTCTTGGTGGTGAAAAATGAGTACTGGTGAAGGGAAAGGTGTTTGATCATTGTATGACCGAGACTTAAACCTGAAAGCTTGGTAACTTTCCCCACAGTGATTCAATAAATAAATATAAAGTAAAGTAAAAGTAAAGGCCCTCCTGTTGTTCATCGATTTGCTCGAGCGGGTCCAGTAACATCTCCATTGGAGATTTTGTTGTTACTGTGTTTGGCATATCGAATACATCACGATATGCTTGCCAGGCTCTGCCATGTGGGCGAGATACTCTCGGTAGCTTGCCGGGCTCTCCGAGAGGGGCGGAGGAATCGAACTCGGGTCGGCCATGTTGGCTGCGTGCAAGGCAAACGCCCTACCGCTGTGTAGTTAACATGTAAATCATAAATAAAATCACTTTGGAGGACACAGTTGAGAAGAAGGTCAGCTAGCTAAAAGCCAAGGAGAGTTCTCAGAAGAAATCAACCCTGCCAACAAACACTTTTCATCTCACACTTGCACACCCCAGCACTGTGAGAAACTAAATTTCTGTTGTATGTGGTATTTGGTTATGGCAGCCCTATAGATGCTCTGTTTAGAGGAAGTAAATTCAGCAGTCACCACGGAGAAGTGGCCGGTTTGCTCCTGCCAAATTGTCCATGGGCCGCAAGTCCCAGAGCTCAGATGCAAACCCCTGTGTGGAGTGAGGGGGAGGTGGTGGGGCATGAGCTTTAACCGGTGTACCTGTGCTCAGCAGAGTGCCTGGCACAGGGCACACTCAGAAAAAAAAAAACCAGCTTGAATATCACTTTGCTGAGGAGGAAGCAGCCAGTCTTTTAGCTAACTGTGGATTCTATGCCTGGCATTGGTGCCTCTATGTGACCCTGGGGAAATCACTCAAAGTCTCTGTGCTGCGAATGCCCATGTGTGAAGGGATAACAGTGCCGACCTCACAGAAGACTTGTGAAGAGTGCTTAAGTTACTGCTTATAAAGTGCTCTGAAAAGAGCTCACTAAGCTCTCAAGAAATGCTGGTTAAATACATATTATGTTGTACTGTAAGAAAACACAAACACAAAACTCAAAGAAAGATGACTTCCTTCCAGCTCAAACCTGTCTTTTTTTTTTTCTTCTTCCTTTTGGGTCACACCCAGCGATGCTCAGGCATTACTCCTGGCTCTGTGCACAGGAATTACTTCTGGCAGTGCTAGGGGGACCATATGGGATGCTGGAAATCGAACCCAGGTCAGCTGCGTGCAAGGCAAATGCCCTACCCGCTGTACTATCACTCCAGTCCTGAGTTTGGAATCTTGCAGAGGGTGGGTCTTGGATGAAGCAAAGACCAGGAGGCATCCCTGAAGGAGGGAGAAACAATTTGTGAAAGGGTTGAAGGTGGAAAGGACTATTGCTGTTATAAGATAGTTTGTCACCACTTCTAGCTGCCTCCATGACTACCAACTTGGCCCACTTTCATCTGTCACCTGGATCACACACAATGCGAGGGCACAGTGGATGTCCCTCTATATCCAAGAACAGTGAATGCTTTCTTCATTCCACATTTATAGAGGAGAAAACCGGCTCAGAGGACCCAGGGCTGAGGCTGAAGAAAGGCAAGAGGAGTTAGAGGAAGGTCCGGAAGGGAAGGGCTGAGCTAGTATTCCAAGAAGCAGAGCCTCTGAGCAGGCAGCCAGGACACAGTGTCCGGGGAGGCAGGGATGGGCTTGGTTTTGATGAAGCTTCCCTCTGATCTCCAGTTTTCCAGGAGCCTCACTGCTTCCTGCCTCCGCAGCCTGCCTGAGGAGCAGGGCCACTCCAGGCACCTGCTTTGGCAGCTCCCACCATTTGCACCTGATTTCTAGTTTCTTGCTGAGTCTCAGAAGTCAGTGGGAAGCAGACAGATAGTTAAGGTTGAGTACAGGCCTAGTGTATACTTGGACTCTGCAAGTGGAGTTGCTGGAGCAGGGAGGGAAGGGCCACTTTTGTATTTGGGACATCAGGGGGACAAAGGGAAAGATGGGAAACAGTTGCAACAGCAAGGGGCAGAGACACCAAAGGATGGAGAAGGCACGGTCTGAGAAGTAGGAGGACCTCGAGTCATGGGCACGAAGAGAAGGTGCACTGTGGGGTCAGACACTGGGCTCCTGAGAGAGTGAAACTGACTTGACGGGGTGGGGGAGGAGGGCTCAGAGATTTACCCCTTTCCACCTCTCAGGCACGCTGGGATCACAGGGAGCTGGCAAAGCACTGTGGCCTGGCCACTCCCAGTGAGAGGAGGGGGTGACTCAGGGCCACATGCTAGGCATGGACTATTGGACCACAAGAGTTTTGTTTTCAGGGCCAGGGTGGCGACCTAACACATGCAAAGCAGGTGCTCTACAGCTGAATCACACCGCTAGCTCCGATGAGAGGATTTTTTTCTTTGAAACATTTTTGAATTTTATTTTAGGCATCGTGGTTCATAATACTGTTCCAGTAGGATTTCTTGCATAAATCATTCCAGCATCACACCCTCTGTCAAAGTCCCTCCACCACTGTTCCAGTGTCCTTCCACATCCTCTTTCCACCTGCCACCGAGGTGTGCACGGCACCACTCCTGGTACTGCCCCATGCCAGAGCACTGCCAGGCTGCTCCAGCCACTTCCAGAGCTTCTGCTATGCCCCACCTCTTAGGCCTGCAGAGCTGCCGCAGCATCACTGCTGCGCAAAGCCATGGTGGCCACAGGGGGTCAGCGTGCACTGCAGCAGCTGGGCCTGGGGCTCAGGAGCCCCCAGCACCCAGTGCACACTGGGTGCTCGGGACGCAGCCGGCCTCTCAGAAGTCAGCTCAAGGTCACTCCATCCCTGCGTCTGGAACCCTTATGCCGGCCCATGGAATTGATTTCCAGCTCCGTCTCTTTTCGAGGCACTCTCCAGACTACCCTCTAAGGAGGGCATTTGAAAAGGCAGGAGTGAGCTGAGAAATGGAAGGGTCGCGGGGTGAGGGGGACAGCGGAGCAAGCTTGGGGCGGGAGACCAACTGCATCCCAGGGGCCAGGTTAAGAAGCGATCACAGAGTGTGGGTGTGGTCCAGTCAGACCCCTCTTCCCAGTTGCAGCAGCGGGCACCCAGCCAGCTAATCAGCCCTTTCCCTGGAAGTCCAGGGGTGGGTGAGTTGGGACAGGGGCTGTATCCCTTTAGTAAACGGAACTGGACGAGTCGGGAGCTGTCACCGATAGCTCTATTTCCTGCCATGTGTGGGAAGGGTAATGCAGAGCACTGTAAAGAGCTAGGACTATGCTGTGTTTTCTCTGTATCTGTAGCACTTTCAGCTAGGCTGCCCCTGGGTCCCCTGCAAGATCCCGCTATATGGAAGGGTAAATCCCATTCTGGCTTGAGGCGGTGGGAGGGGAAGAATTCTGTTAGTGCATCTGTGCTGCCAATGCTGCTCAGCAGAGATCCTGGAGAAGAAAACAGAAGGACTCATACCTGCCAGGAAAGATGCTCAGAGCAGACAGATCTACAATACCCCTGCCTGACACCACCCCCTCCCCCCGCCCAATCCACACCACCGGGGCCACAATTCCCAGACAGCCTTTCTCAACTGTCAGGCTGCACAGATCCCCACTGGCCCTTATCACTCCCCAGGCACCTATGTATGCTGCCCTGAGGACCTCAATAAGCCAAGACCACTGCTGCTCTGCACCCGGAAACTGCCCTCACCTGTTTATAAATTCATTCATTAAATATTGGTTGTCCTGTATGCTAACTGCTAGGATCCTGAGACTGCACTGAGGTTTCTGATTATTCCCTTGCCTGCTTCATTCTTGCTCTTTGTACTCAGAAGTACAGAGGGGAGGGCACCTGCCTTGCACACAGCCATTCCCGGCAAACAAAAACCTGAGTTCTACAGAAGGCATCACTAGGAGGCATCACTAGGCTCTCTTGACCTGGTCCCAGTGAGTGCAGCTAATGGGAGTAATTGACCAAGAGCAGTGGGCAGGAGGAAAGGTCCAGGACTATCTTTCATTGCCTCCCTGCTTCAGCACATCTATTATCCAGGTCTGTAGTCTCCTTTCACACTGTCTTCGGGTTGATCCGAGTGATCAACAGAATATGGCAGCAGTGATGGCTGAGTCATGAAGGACATGTGGACTCTGTCTTGCTCTCTGGGTCTCCTTCTTTGGGACAAGCCACCTGCCATGATGTGAGATGGTCTGTGCAATCCCATGGAGGCTCCCAGTAGGAGCCGGGGCCTCCTGCCAACAACCACTGACTCTGCCATCCTCACTGTGGGGCTGGAGGTCTGTCAACCTCCATCAGGGTTTCCAGACACTTTGAGCCCTGGTCAGCATCTTTTTATTTTATTTATTTTGCCACACTCAGCAATGTTCAGGGCTTGTACCTGGCTCTGTGCTCAGGGATTACTTCTGGCAGTGCTCAGGAGGCCATACGTGGTGCTAGGGATAGAGCCCACACTGATTTCGTGTAAAGCAAATGTCTTAGTAGCTGTATTATCTCTTTGGTGGCCCTGGCCCTTTAGGTTCTTGAGGAACCTAAAGATAGAACTGTTTTAGCTAATTTCCTGAATTCCTGAACTATAGAGACTATGCTGTACAGTTTTAAGTTACCAAATGTTGGCATAATTTGTTCTGCTGCAATAGAAAATAGAATAGGGGTCAGGAGAGAGTGTAGCAGTTAGGGTGCACGCCTAGCATACAGCTGATCTGGATTGGATTCCTGGTACTATATGACCCCCTGCACACTGCCTGGGGGTTTGGGTATTCCCCTTACCACAGGGCCAGAGCAGCAACATGTTCCTGGGCTCTTACATAGAATCCATGGGCTTGGCTGGCCAAGCGTCACCAGTGGCCTCTACCCCCGACCTCCTCAGCACCCTCTTCCCCCCAAAACAAAACATGGCTTTGGAAGATAAGATCTCTTTCTGAGTCCAGCAACATAGCTGTGTAGCAATGTTCCCTGTGCATATATTTTTACCCCCCTCTCTTTTTACAGCACAATGGGGACTGAGCCCACATGTGCCACATCCCACCCGTCAGCTCTTTATTTCTTTTATCCTGCCCACAACCCCGCAAATAGTCACTTAAATTTTATTTTGTTTGTTTTGGGCCACATCGGCTGTGCTCAGGATTTACTAATGGCTCTGCACTCAGGGATCAATCCGGTGGAGCTTGAGGGAACTACATGCTATGGAATCTCCTAAGGTTCTGGACCCAGCTTCCCAGGCAGGCCAGCAGGAATCTGAAAGAAGTGGGGATAGACTCTGGCAATAATAAATTTTCCCCCAGGTTTGGAGGCTTCCAGCCCATCAGCCCTCATTAATGTCTTTTTCTTATCTTGCCACTTTTTGTTTTTTGCTCTTTGGGTCATACCCGGTGATACTCAGGGGTTACTCTAGCTCTGCATTCAGGAGACACTCCTGGTGGTACTCAAGGGACCATATGGGATGCTGGGAACCAAACCCAGATCAGCCGCATGCAAGGCAAATGCTCTACCCGCTGTATTGTGGCTCTAGCCCCTATCCTCCCACTTTTGAGCCTTGCACCCCTGTTTTCTGCTGCACCCCATAGCCACCTGCCCTATGCAGCTCCCTGCCTTGACAGCTAGCACCCCACTCTTAGTTTTGTCACCAGTCAGCCTGTGATGCTGGAGAGAAAGTCCCAGAGAAAGCCCAAGATGGAGACTCAGTTCCGGAGCAAGATGCCAGCACCTTAAGAACCAAGTTCATGTGCTTTGCCGTGCAGCAAATCTCCAAAAGTATTTCTAAATGCTCATTGACATACCAACTTCTCAGTAGCGCTGGCAGATTTATCATGCTTTTTTGGTGTAAAACCTGCTTTTATTATGGACCTAAAGCCATATATATACACTCTTGTGACAGTTTCCAGTGGTTTATGTGTAATAGTTGTCATTTTTCTTATAAAACATATTCTTATAAATTTCTAATACTTGTGTTACAGGTTGACTATTGTTCTTCCAATGTAATGCATGTTGTGAACTATGCATTTTATAAAATGTATTTAAAATGAATGGAAAATAAAAACATTTCCAAAAAAAAAAAAGAACCAAGTTCAAATCTGTTCATAACTAGCAACCAGTCAGGCCTCTTGGCCAGCAGGCTTGGGGCCCATCCTCACTCTCACCGGGCCTTCTCTGTGCAGACGCTGCCCTCCAGGCTTGGACCCTACTTGGGCTTCCTGCTTTTGGAAACTGCTGAAAACTGAGGGAGAGAGAAGGATGGGAGAGAAGGAACCAAAATAGAAAGAAAAGTACAGCAGGCAGGGTGCTTGCCTTGTATGTGGCCAACTGGAGTTAGATGTCAGCATCCAATATGGTCCCCCGAGCACCACCATGAGTAATTCCTGAGTGCAGAGCCAGGAGAACCACTGAACATCACTGAGTTTGGCTCCCAAACAAAACAAAACAAAACAAAAATGGAAAGAAAAGTTCAAGTATAGCATTACTTTCCCAGCCAGGGTCCCATTGGCAGCTCAGAATCTGGCAGTCTGGTGCCTGGTGAGGTCCAGGTACAGTTAAGAGACAAGAGTTGGAAGGCAGAGGGCAGACCCTCCACCTAGAAGGGGCCAAGCAGCACCTACAACACCTAGGAAGTCCCAGCTATCAGCCTTCATAGGACAGGAATGAAGTGGGGAAGAGGAAAATGACACTTTGGAGAGGAGCACAAGACAAGGAGCGCAAGGGAGGGGTGGAGACTGAGGCAGATTGGTGAATCTCATAGGGGCCACTGCAAGGTTTACACGGCACCTTTGTGCAAGCAAGAGGATGGAGAGATGGCGCAAAAGGTTAGAGCAGATGCTTTGCCTCTACACAGCTCTGAGTTCAATCTCTGGTCCTTCATGTGCCCCCACCACCTGCACGCCCCCCAGCCCTGGTCTAAGCACTTTGGTGGTAGCCCTAGTGGCTTGCGGTGCTGAGGTTCCATACAGCACCATGTTGCCAGCTCAGACACCAAGTGGCCTCCAAGCACTCAAGCACCACAGGGTAGACACACTAAGCAGAGAAAAATAAAATAAGAAAAGGAAAAAGAATAAGAAAAGGCCTCCCTCTAGGGGGCTGTTTTGCACTCCTGACACCTCCCCACTGCCTGTCTGTGGCAGGACATCAACTGTGTCTGGTGGAGGGCCGGAGCGATAGCACAGCGGGTAAGTGCATTTGCCTTGCACACGGCCGACCCAGGTTTGATCCCTGGCATCCCATGATTCCCTGAGCACTTCCAGGACTGATTGCTGAGTGCAGAGCAAGGAGTAACCCCTGAGCATCACTAGGTGTGACTCAAAGAGCAAAACAAACACACAAAAGCCGAACTGCCCCGGTGGCTCTGACTCATGGGACAGAGCCGGCCACTCTGCTGCAGGCCCATAGGACCGAACTGCCTTAGAACTCCCCGTGCTCTGATGCTGCTGGAGCTTTCAGTGTTTCCAAGGGCAGCTGCATACAGAGATTGTGGTTTAAATTTTTCTTTCTTTTTGTTTTGGGGGCCACGTCTGGTGGTGCTCTGGAGCTATTCCTGGCTCTGGGCTCAGGAATGGTCCCTGTGACCGCCAGGGGTGGGTTGGAGGGGCAATATGCAATGTGGGGGATCCAACCTGGGTCAGCCTCAAGCACAGTCAATGCATTACTCTGTACTAGCTCTCCAGTTGTCCAGTTTTTGTGTCAGCAATGAATCTAGATTTCCTGCCATGGGGATGGGGTTCCCCAACCTCCACGGATACCATGCTGGACAGGAAGATGCCCACTTTACTCTCCAGACCTTATCACTTTACACTCCAGACCTATAGCCCCCTTACCGGCTTCGGGCAGTGGATGTAGCGGGCCAGGCTGATGATAAGGTCGTGTGTGATGGGGTCCACCAGGTTCCGGAAGCTGGCATAGCGGTACAGAACATCATCCAGAGAGGTCGACTCCATGCCCAAGTCCTGCAAGAGTGAGGATTCTCAAAGGCGAGTAGAGGGGTGGCCTCACCTACCCACAATCCTACCCAGTCTGCCCAGAGTATTCCCTGGGCAGGGGTTCAGCCCACCCAGAGGCCTCGGGAAAGAAGAAACCCCACCACAGAAGCATCTCGATCTGCAAGTATCCACCCCCATCCCTACTATACCCATACCCCCAGGGCAGGACGGGCCCATGGCAGCTACTACAGATCTGTGGGCGTGGTTTTCTTGGTACATGGATGTCACTAAGGACAGCCCCACACAGCCTCTCCCGAGGACAGAGGCCAGGGTGGCAGGGTCTGCTTCTCGAACCAGGACAAACTCTGGAACACATAGGGAACTCTCCGTGTGTTGGACTGAGGTTTTTCTTCTGGAGTCTGAGGTCCCCTTTTTTGTTCCTTCATAGGTGACTAAACTTCAAGGTTCCTTTGGCTTGCAGGGAGGTTAGAGTTTCAGGGTTAAAGCTGCCCAGAAGGTGGGCAGAAAACCCTGGCGGGCCACCTAAGTAAAGTATCAAGTGGAGGGGAGGGGCTGGAGGCTGTGGGCACTGAGAGGCCAGGGTACAGCTGGTGCGGGAAATGCAGGGCTGGAGGTTCCCCAAGTCTGAAGGAGGACAAGGGTTTGAGGGACGCACAAACACCCCAAGTGTCTCAACAGGGAGCCTCTGCCACTGGCTAAGAGAACCACCTGTGGATTCGGTTTCAAGGAATCCACGTAAAGCCCAGGGGAGGGCAGCTCCCTCCAGACATGGCTGAGCACAAATTTCCCACAGGCCAAGCTGCTGAGAGCTAGAAAAGATTCATTGCTTTAAAGAAGAAATTGTTCCCATCCTTCACGCCCTACCGAGGTCACCAGTTGCCCCCCACGAGCGGCCCTCTGGCACGGCCACGGCCCCAGAAGCACAAGGACTTAATGCAGAAAACCAGCAGCTTGGAGCAGAAAAGCGAACGGACTATGCGTTAATCCAGGCCATCATGCCTGCCCAGAGGGGAAAGGGTGTTGCCCCATTCGCCCTCTCCTCTCTGGAAAGAAAGATGGCGGCCGCATGGGAGCCTTGTGGAGAGCAGGTCTGAGCTGGGGGTCGAGGTGCGACTGAAACCTCATGGGACGGGAGCACAGAAACCAATCTCTTAATTATCTGACTCTCAGTAGAAATACTTCCAGGGTTAATAAGTAAAATAGCAGAAATCCAAAACCGTGTGGCCGCAATTCTTGAACCCAGCTGTAGAAAGCAAATCATTCCACAATGCTTTTTCAGCATGGCTGATTGGGGGGGGGGGGGGGGAGTCTAAACAATAATGGTGCAACTTTTATCGAAATAATGAAGCTAGTCAAAGTAGATAGAGTGTTAACTAGAATTCATCTGCCCCACAGGCATGGGGGGGTTGGGGGTGGGGGTTTATTGGGCTTCTTCGTGGTGAAAAATAAGTATTGGTAAAGGGAAATATGATTGATATTTGCATGACCGAGACCTAAACCTGAAAGCTTTGTAACTTTTCCCACAGCGATTCAATAAATAAATAAATTCACTGTCACTGTCCCTGTCCTCCCATTGTTCATCAATTTCCTCGAGTGGGCCCAGTAACGTCTCCATTGTAGACTTTTGTTGTTACCGTGTTTGGCATATCGAATACGTCATGGGGAGCTTGCCAGACTCTGCCGTGCGGCGAGATACTCTCGGTAGCTTGCCGGGCTCTCCGAGAGGGGCGGAGGAATCGAACTCGGGTCGGCCATGTTGGCTGCATGCAAGGCAGACGCCCTACCACTGTGCTATCACTCCAGCCCAATAAATAAATTAAAAAATAAAAAATAAAAAAAAGAAGAAATTGTTTTCCTTTCTTGTATTGGGTGGAGGCAGGAGGTGGGTGTCACACCTGGCTGTGCTGTTTTACTCCTGGCTCTGCACTCAGGGATCACTACTGGAGGGACTCAGGACACCACGAGGTGCTGGGGACCCAATCTGGGTGAGTCTCACACAAGGCAGACACCTACCTGTTGCACTATGGCCCCAGTGTTGAGCCTTTTTTTTTTTTTTGCATACTGGCTTACTGGAGCTCTCTGCTCAGAATACATCCCTGACAGTGCTTGGATGACCATATTTGGTGCCAGGGATAGAACCTAGTCAGCTGTGTGCAAGCATCTTGTCCCCACATTCTCTTCAACCCCCCAAAACACTTTTCTACCCTTGACAATGAATTCAGCTTTCAGTCCTATATGTGAAGGAGCATGTGTAGACCTTGTCTCCCAAGGCATGGTGCTTGGGGATAAGCCGTGGCTTCTGCTGCTGACTTGACGCCCTGCTACCAGGCAGTGATGCCAGTCTCACAATGGAGGCTGTCCTCACCCCATCCTGAGGGCCACTATGAGGCCCTGTGGGGCTCTGACGGTAGTTAGGACATGCAGTATGCACTTTTGCTAACTTCATCCTGAGCCTGCTGTACCCCAAAGCTGCATGTGCAGTCACCAGCACAGCCCAGAGTCAGGGTGCCAGGGTCCAACACCTGGGGGCCTGGAAATGTGGCAAATGGCGAGTCCCTGCAGGGGAGTGACCCTGCCATTTCCATGGGATATCCTGAACTTTTCTAATAAACATCTTCCCCGTGGGAAGCTTAGAAATCCTTGCAGGGCAAAGAGGCTTAGAATGCCATTCCCAGTTTCCAAATGAACAAACCAAGGCACCATGAATTATGTTCAACTGCCAGGATTTTTGGAATGGTAGAGAATTTCAGAGCCATATGCCAGAGCCAAATGTCTAAGCAACAATCTGAAGATGAACTTCTCTCTCTCTCTCTCTCTCTCTCTCTCTCTCTCTCTCTCTCTCTCTCTCTCTCTCTGTCAGAGTTCAGGACTTTTAATTTGTCCCAAAGTAGCTGAAACAAAAAACAAAACAAAACAAAACAAAAAAACATGAAACATTCTGCTTTCCTTTACACCCCCAAACCCAAAACAAAAAAACAACTATTGTAGGGAAAAATGGTTTTGTCTTCATCATCCTCGTCATCACCATCCTCCTCACCATCATCTGAGGCCGGGGCAACAGAAGTTGATGTCTTTATCATGGTTGGCTCACATTCATCTTCATCTTCATCCTTCTCATCCTCGTCATCATCTTCTTCACTGCCATCCTCATCCTCATCATCACTGTCTTCTTTCTTAGCATTTTTTGCCATTCTTTGCACCCTTGGCTGGGGGGGAACTGCTCCCTTCTTACAAGACACTGCTACCATGGCTTTTCCTGGTGTGGCACCCTTCTTGCCTGGTGTTGCTACTACTTTAGCTGGTGTAGCTGCTTTCTTGGATGGTGGAGGAGCTGCTCCCTTTTTGCCAGGAGTGACAACTGCTTTCTTAGCTGATGTGGCCACTGCACCTTTTTTGGGTGGGGAAAACATCATTTTCTTTTCTTTTTTTTTTTTGAGCATTTCCAATGTCTTATGTTTTTTAATTGTTTGCCCTCTCTCCTCTCCCCCTTCTTGTTATTGTTGATGCTGTTGCTGTGACCTCCAGAGGTTGTACATATGCCTGGCTGTGGTGCTCTCACACAGAGTTGTGCTCACTGGGGTCACACATCAAATGGCTGTGTGTGTATATTCAGCCGAGCTTCGCAAGCCTTCATCATGACTTGCACTCCATGATCCAGCGTTTTATTAAAGCTCAGAAGTGTTGACACTATCAATGCCACAACCCCCAATGCTGATAATTAACTGGACTGGAAACATCATTTTCTTTGCTGGAGTTGCAACATCCCTCTTGTCTCTTTTTCTGAGGAATGATAATCTCCTCTCCTCCACTGCTATCGTCATCTTCATCTTCGGACATTTCCTCATCGTCACTGTCTTCTACCTTCTTTGGGGGAGGAGCTATTTTCTTGGTGTCACCTTTATTTTTACTGGCCTGCCCCAGCATTTTACCATGCCATCCTGCTGCCAAATGCCACCGAACTTTCCTCTCTTGATCCACATTTCTCTGTACCTGGGAAATGCTTCCATCCTCATTCTTACCTCTGAGATAAGTATGTTCAAAATATGTATGTGCAGCTTGGATGTTAGGGATTAGCATATGCTTATCAAATATAATTGCTCTATTGCTCTGCTACTTTAGAGTGTTGATATACTGTCAATTTTCTCTTATTGAGACTAGCCCACCTATCACAGTGGTTTATAACCTGGAATTTATATATGGGAGTGTGGAAAGCAGCAAAGCAGATCTCTCTATTGGTTCTCTTTCCCTCCTAGCAAAGGGACTCAGTATCAATTGTGAAAAAAGTTCTATTTTTCCTTTACTCCATGCAGAGGTGATATATTTTGTTAACAATACCCCCTCCCCAATATAGGCCTGGTGGTCTCCTCTTACTGATGTCCCTGAATGTACCAGATTGTTAGGCTCTATCCAACACTTCAGTTCACTGTGGCAAAACACTTGTTCCCTCTCGGGGTTTCTTTCCCTAACTGGAGGAGAAAGAGCAAGCAGCTCTAACAGCGCTTCAATACAAACCAGCCCTGGCGCGGCCGGAATATGACACTCAGGCATCCTGACAGCTCTGCTCTTCGGGATCCCCAGAGGTCAAGAACCTGCAAGACCTGACTTAGGGGTGTAAGGACCGCCCAGGCGAGCAGGCAGGCTGGAGGCTGTGCGTAGGAGACTCTGTGATTCTGGCACCCTCATAGTCTGGGGTCCCCAGGGAGGGAACAAAATAAAAATAAAATCTGATACTGGAGAGGACAACTGTATGGTTTTCTTGTTCTGTTTCAGTCCTGTGGGTCTCCCAGGCCCCCTCTCCTCCAGACCAGTGGAGTCTAGTATTGGCTGCCCAGATGTGTTTAAGAGGCAGATAAGGGGCTGGAGTGATAGCATAGGGCATCAGCCTTGCATGGGTTCGATTCTCAGCATCCTATATGGTCCCCTGAGCACCGCCAGGGGTATTCCTGAATGCAGAGCCAGAAATGACACCTGTGCATTGCCAGGTGTGACCCAAAAAGGAAAAAAAA